GTTGATGGACTTCTTTAGCCATTCCGCATCGTACAATACATCAATATTCTTAAAGTGTAGGATACGTCGCTAAGTTTCATCCTGCAAGAGTCTCTCCTGGAAGGTCATCTACCTGGGGTATTGATCCACAGTCTCGTTGGGGTTATTAGGGCCGAAGCAATGATGAAAAGGGGGCCAAGTGGAGGGGTTATATCCGATTCCATTTTTGTCCCTCACAGGTCGATCTTGGGCGAAGATTTCTCTCATTAACCAGATACCAGGTAATTCCCATCGGTGCATCCCGATACCTCGGTAGCAAAACCCGAAGTGTACGGTGTTGTGGGAGTTGGACCTAGAGAGAACCATCTCCATCTATGATCCACTTCGGAATACCATTGTCCAATGCCCGTGCCCCTCCGACCTCGCGGGAGAAGAAAGAGGCTGTCTCAGTGGCTTGGGTTCAAATGTTATTACCAAATTAACAAAAGTTTGGTGCACTAGACTCCACTTGCTTGCCACATATCGACACAAGCGACAACATAGTACATCGAGTCGACGTTGGCGGTAGGCACCAACCACCAGCTTCCATCACCGCCCACGCTACGGCCTCCTTCCCGTCTTTCAATACGAGCAGCGGCAACCCAATGACCACTGACCCCATTCATCTTACCGACGCACAGTTGTTGACGAGCTTTGGTGCCAGTCCTTCTTCCCCAGTTCGCTCTCCTCCACGCACCGTTCTCCCGCACCCAGGGCACTGGGACGGACCCGGTCCTCTTGGTGCTCCACCGTTCCAGGCTGCTGGACGACTTCGGTCAAGATTGCGACACCACAGACCTTTGAAGCCGCCCCCAAATCCAACCCCTTCAACATCAACAATCGATATTGGCCCGATCAGTGTTTGGCCGGGACCAGGTCAACGGCAAGCGGGACATCAAGCCAACCATCCCATCCCGATTTTCTTTCTCCTTTCTTTTCTTCCTCTTTTCAGCTCTTTTTTTTTTGCCACTTCCATAAGAAAAACAAATACTGCCACGCTTCACAGCCCTTTGCTGTAGTGTACACTCGGTGCGTGTTCCGAAAAAGTCGGAAGGGGGTGGTGGAGAACGATGACACGAGGCCGCTAGGCCCCGGCCTCGAGGACGTTTAGACATGCATGCGCCATCTTTTTTATTTCGTTTTCCTTCTGGCGGTGATGACAGAGGTCTGGCACCGAGAAGTTCTGTAGCACAGACCCTCGAAGGGGGTTCGAGCTGAGATCACTTGAGATGACGGGATGCCTATTGACGCCAGTTGAGCATGTTGAGCAGGGGAGAGCGGGCGCTTCTCGATCCTCCATGCACTCGACGGAAGCTAATATTGTTCAACTTCCAAGAAGCAAGAAGCAAACTAATCGACCTGCATCTTCCTTTTTCTTCTTCTTTTTTTACGCCTATTTATTCACGTGGCTCGCATCAGTCCTTGAGTGAGCGGCCGCCACTGCGAGGCTGTGGTAGGTATGTATGGTACATGTTGTCAGCGGCCAGCGAAAGGGAAAGCCTTTGTCCCCCAATTTTGTCATCCTTTGTTTGCTTCAGGGAACAAGCACGCACCTGGTACGGAGGTCACCTCCGAGACCCCAGCCCTCCCTTTGCTTTAGCGCTATCGGCCACGCGACGATCCTCGTGGCAATCAAGCCACCAACGGGCTGTTCAGGCAAAGCAAGGTTTGGCTGGAGTGTGCCATTGTCCGACATCCCATTGTCTGCAGGCGCTGATTTGACCACCACCCACCACACCATTCAGGCACGCACCGTTTCTAGACCTGCATTCCCACTTTGGGCGGGGAACGAAGATAGGCGATCCCGAGGGTTTGTTTTCTGCTTTCTGTCCATGTCTGCTATGATAATCTTATTATTCTCTCCCTTGCGTCTCTTCGTCTCCCTTCATGGGATGAACTGCAGGATTGACGAGAACAAGGGTATCAAGAATACGCGTGTCATTGATGATCCTTTGTGCTTAGCTTGCGGCAATGAGGATCCTCAAAGGCTCGACCCTCATGGACCTTGGGTCGAGGGCGGTGGAGCAACGGCGAGCCCGGGCCCGCTGACACGGGGGAAAATATGCACTACTCCAGCTCCTGGGGTAATATTATTGACTCGACCTGACTCGAAAGACTTTTGGGGTGGCTGGCTTCACGACCAACGGGAAAGCAACTTGAACTAGCGAGTAGGGCCTGGCGAAATTTCAATGCCAATCTCCGAAAAATCTTGTTTTTCTTTTAAATCCCGCCAGGACCAGGGAAGGAACCCGGGGGCATGGGGATAACACCGAACTTATGGCGGGCCGAGAAACTGTTCAATGTTATCTTTGATGATGCCCACGGGAAAAGAAAGAAAAGGAGCCGTGGCAAGAAGATTTTAGGGCCTCGCGCCGGTTGGCGGGAGAAACCCCGGGGCGCGGTGGCCCCAGCTGCTCAAAGCTAATGCGCACTTGGGCGGAATACGAGTTGTGGCAGCAGCGTTTGCCTCCCAAGGGCGCCCCCTTTCTCCAGCAGCTGGAATGGATGGATCAATTCAGTCATGGACACATTTTCTTGATCCCCTCCCCTCCTCGCGAAAAGAAAAAAAAATTCCATGCTGTGGATCTGTTCTTGTTCCTCCTTTGTTTCCACCTCTCCCGTGTTTTAGCCTTTCAAGTTTATTTCTTCCCCTCCCTTGTTTGGGTTTCCTCCTTCGACGGGTTTTGCTAATCTTATATCTGGCAGGTTGGTTGGATGGACCGACCCCTTGCCAGCAAGGGGATGAGATTTGAGGACAACGGCAGACGTCGATCGACCGAAATCTCTTGATTCAGGGCTTTGGGAACCAGGGTTCAAGTTGCGTCGAGCTCTGGGGACAGCATGTTTTCAAATGCTTCTTCCCATGCTCTTCTTCCCCTTTTCCCCCAAAGAATTTTCCATGGCTGTTCTTCTTTCAGTGCAATATTACGAAGTATCATGTCCAGAGCCGGGCTGAAGGGCGGACCGCTCCCGTATCCATTCATCATCAGAATTTGGCATGAACCCTCATGACAAGAAAGCATGCAAATAGCCAACAACTCCTATTTACACTACAGCCCTCTCCGCCTCCCCCTTCCCCTATTATCCCGTCTTAGTTTAGGAGGGTATGCATGCATGGAAGCTGAGTCCGGGGTCGACACTCTTATGCGTGTCAACTGCCAACGGCCAAGCAGTCGTCTCAGTTTTAGTACCCATTGAGACATTCCGAGCTCTTACCTTCCCTCACGAAGAGGACGCGCAGTGCAGTATAGTATGATTGATGTATGCAGGGTTCAGTCCAGGGCTACCTACCCGACCAGTGGAACCCTGGCTCCTGGGCCGCTTGCCGAGATCTTTGTCGTCCAGGTGGGTGGGAGACGTGCATTCCAATCTCCTGCCGACACGAGCAAGCGAAGCGTCTCAGCATCACGAATGGTTTTGGGTTGGGATCCCCAAAATTACGGGACCGCTGTCACGCTTGGTCGGGCATGGCTGTCAAACACGCACCTCGTGGCCTTTTGAAGGGAAGATTGGGGTATTACCTCGGGTCAGGCATCGCTTACTTGTAGATAACGACAAAGCTCAGGAAACAAAACAGTGGAAAGGCGATCAATCGATCCGTGGATAGTCAGTCGGGTTCATCATGATCGCTGACAGGCAAGGCTCGATCAAAGCAAGGGAGATTAAAGGTGCTCTTAGCATTTTGCATCTCGGTACCTCGTGGCTCAATGGAGGGTTTAACGAACTTCTTTCCATCCCAGATAGAAGAGCCCGTCAAGAAGTAAATATACCAATTGACGGGCAAGCAGAGGGATAAAGGGTCCTTCGTCATCAATCCTTCAGGCCGACGAGAGACCGCGGCTCCGAAGTGCTAATCGCGAAGAGGGAGAGGGGAGGGGAACTGGCTCTCGACATTCATCCCTCCACCTCTTATATCCACCTGACTTGCCCCTATCCAGGAAGAGAGTACCAAGGCTTTAGCTCTACAAAAGGGGGAAGAGAAGGACAGGATAGAAGGGCGACTGAGCGGATTGTGTGGAGTGTGGAGAAGTCTCGATGCCGGATTTGGGGATCGGGGAGAAAAGGGGGTCAGGACAGTAGCGGCCATTCACGTCAGAAGGTAGCAGATGCACCCCGGCATTTATTACTTCTAGTGAGAACGAAAATAGGGGCAGCATGCAAAAGTGGGCGGACAAGCTTCCCGCAGTTTGTCGCTGGCTGGCGAGCGGAGTCGAATCGGAAAACCGGGGCCTCGGATCGGCAATGGCTGGCCCTGGTCCCCCCTCTTCCCCCAAATCCCGATTGTCTTCGGCGCGCGCGCTGCGTTGCGTTTGGCTCCCCTCTCCATCTGCCAGTGGTCAATGGATGAATGGGTCCGTCTTTGTTGGCTTTTTCTCGTAGTCAAGCTGCGCTATTCCAACCCAAGACGAGTGTGATGCGGGGTGAGCAGTTTGCGGAGCGAGCAGACTCGGGTATCGGATATGACGCTTCGTTTCCAAAGGCTTCTTTGTGTCACCAGGCCCCCTCTCCCCCAGAGCAGTTGGGTTTTCGTAGCTTGTCGGGGGGCTTTGTTCTCTCTCTCCCTCTAACTTGTGCTCTCCCCATCAACCCCTCCTCAACCCCTTCCCGAGCCCAAGCCCAAGCCGAGCTACAGAACCCTCCGGCGCGAGCCTACTCCTCCTCATCATCATCGTCCTCCTTTAATCCGAATTGAAGCCTCTTTTTCATCATAAAGACCCATTCTCAAAAAATTTGAAACAACCAGTCCTCGGTTTAGCTTCCGCTCTCTTTTTTGTCTCACAGCATTTCCCGCTTGCTCCGTAATTCTAAAGTGACCCCGCGAAACGGGTTGGCTCAAACAGTCCGAACCGGGAAACTCACCGCCAATCAACCTCCCGGACGTAGCTTCATTTTCCATATTTACGAAGCTCCAGGCTCGCATCACAAACAAACACTGCGTAAGAGGAACAAGGTAGAAGAACGATTAAGCAATCAGTTACATCATGTCTCCTCTTGCACCCTTTGCCCGCGTTTTGCCCAGCGTACGTATTCCGCCTCTTCGACCTTCTATTCGGCCGAGCCCCAGCCGCACATCCGCACATCCGTGTGAACTCCGTGCCGCCGTTCTCACCAGCCGTGCCAACGACGGAAACTCCTTTATCGCTTACCACTTTCTTACCGTTTCCCTAACATTGACTCTCTCTCTAGGCCGCCACGCGGGCAAGCAACCTCCTCCGGGCCATTCAGTTCACTCACCCGCCAAACTGCCCCTGCCATTCTAACCCCAACTATCACAAGACGGCCCCGACGAGCTTCACGCAACGGAATTTCGAAAAGAACAGGCAGTATGGCGTCTCTACTGATAGCCAAATCTCCAAGGAGTATGCCTTTGAAATGGCGGCGTCGTCTATCCGCTTCGGCCCCGGTGTCACTCAGGAAGTAGGCATGGACCTGAAGCACCTCGGCGCGAAAAAGGTGTGCGTCGTCACGGATCCCACAGTCGACAAGCTGTTTCCCATGCAGCAAGTGAGGAGAGCTTAGCAAGGGAAGGAGTCAACTACGTCGTCTACAGCAACGTCGCCATTGAACCCAAGGACACCTCGTAAGTTAACCTTCTCTTTCTTCCGAGTCCATAGTCGCAAACATGAGGGGTAAAAGAACACTTTAGAATAGCGCAGCGTACTAACAGTCGGGATATAGCGTCAAGGACGCCATCAACTGGGCCAAGGCCGAAAACGTGGACGCCTTCCTCGCCGTCGGCGGCGGTTCCGTCATGGACACGGCCAAGCTCATGAACCTCTACACCACGTACGCCGACGCCCCTTCCTCGACTTCGTCAACGCCCCCATCGGCAAGGGCCGCCCCGTCGACCGGGCTCTCAAGCCCCTCATCGCCATCCCCACGACGGCGGGCACCGGGTCCGAGACGACGGGCACCGCCATCTTCGACCTGACGACGCACCGCGCCAAGACGGGCGTCGCCCACCGCAACCTCAAGCCCCTCCTCGGCATCTGCGACCCGCTCAACATGCGCACCATGCCCAGCGCCGTCAAGGCCAGCTCCGGCCTGGACGTCCTGTGCCACGCCCTCGAGTCGTGGACCGCTATTCCCTACACCGAGAGGAGCCCTCGGCCCCCGCACCCCCTGCAGCGGCCCGCCTACCAGGGCGCGAACCCCATCAGTGACGTGTTCTCGCTGCACGCTCTCAAGAGGACGGTCAAGTATCTGCCCCGATCCGTGCGGGATCCCGATGACCTCGAGGCCCAGAGCGAAATGTTGCTTGCTGCGACGTTGGCCGGCATCGGCTTCGGTAACGCGGGCGTGCACTTGTGCCACGGTATGTGCCATCCATCCCTCTCGCCATTTCAATCAGAATCACTCCCCAGGGGACCCCTTTCGAATCTCAAATTTATCTAACTTGATGCTAGGCATGTCGTATCCCATCTCCGGCCAAAATCCCGGCTACTTCCACGCCGGCTACGAAGTCTCCAAACCCCTCATCCCCCACGGCGTCTCCGTCGCCGTCACCGCGCCCTCCGTCTTCCGTTTCACCGCCGCATCCAACCCAGACCGCCACCTTGCCGCCGCCGAGGCCTTTGGCGTCGACGTGACCAACGCCCGCCGCGAGGACGCCGGCGAGATTCTCAGCGACGCCATCGCCTCCTTCCTGGAAGAGTTGGGCGACCAGCCCAGGGCCTGCGCGCGCTCGGGTTCGGCGCCGGGGATATCGAGGCGCTGGTCGAGGGCACCATCCCCCAGCGCAGGGTAGTGGTGCTCGCGCCCGGGATCCAGGGCGGCGAGAGGGATCGGGAAGTTTTGGCTGGGCTGTTTGAGCATGCGCTTGATAGGAAATGAGAGGGCACTGTGTTTTCGCGACATGCCTTTATTCTATTCTAGTTATCGACATGTTTCATAGCTTTGGTGCTTCCTTGCGTGGGTTACTTTAATACATAGCTTCATCGTAATGGTATATCCTAGGTGCGCAGTAGCATGTGCAGTATATACTCCAACCATCAACTACGCTTATTGTGCCAATTCCAGGGAGGTATTGTCCCTCAATTGCAAGTCCAAGCAGGCTACAAAGGCTTTTTTCTCCCTTCGTTTTCTTTTTGACGAGTCTCTCAACAAGGGTGTATGCTACCGCCGTATTAGCACATTTTGTGACACTGGCCGACGTATCATGCGCTTGCGGAGGTGAAGCGTCGAGGTAGCGGGGTTTCCCCACCGGCGACTCGAGAAATTGAGACGCCCACTCCCTCGCGTGATATACGTTAAAAGCAACCATAACGTGTAAACCACAACATACTGGAACTCAAAGCAGTCCTCCGAACATATCTTTTTCATCTACTTTTGCAAGGAGAAAAGGGCATACCAAGCACAAAAATACAATGGGCCCCACCGAGCCCCCACTAACAACAAGACCCTGGCGATCCTCCACGCAGCCCGCGCCGGGGTTACGACGTGCCCGCCATCGCCGCCTACAACTTCGAGGGCGTCGTCGCCATCATCCGCGCCGCCGAGAACCTGCGCTCCCCGGCCATCATCATCCTGTTTCCCTGGAGCCTGCAGTACGCGGGCGCCACCTTTGTGCGCGCCGCCGCCGACGCCTGCCGGACGGCCGAGGTGCCCGTCTCCCTGCACCTCGACCACTGCCAGGACCCAAAGCTGGTGCGCGCCGCCGCCGACATCGAGGCGGGGTTCGACAGCATCATGTGCGACACCAGCCATAGCGAGCGCGCCGAGAGCTTGGCTCTCACTCGTGAGCTCGCCGCCTACTGCCGCGCGCGCGGATCGCCGTCGAGGCGGAGCCGGGGAGGATCGAGGGCGGCGAGGACGGCGTGGCGGAGACGGCGGATTTAGGCGGGGTACTGACGACGCCGGAGCAGGCGCTGGAGTTTGTCGACGCTGGCATCGATCTTCTTGCGCCTGCGTTTGGCAACGTTCACGGCGAGTACGGTCCGAGGGGATTCGCCTCGAGTACGATCGCTTGCACGCTGTTAATGAAGCTGTGGGGAGGAGGGTTCATCTCGTGCTTCATGGTTCGGACCCGTTTGATGAGGACACCTTTCAGCGCTGCATCGAGGCGGGAATTACCAAAGTCAACCTTAACAAGGGGATGAATTCACATTATCTGAGGGTGCACAAGGAGATGCAGGGACAGCCACTGACGGCCATTATCGAAAAGGCAACTGACGCGATGCAGGGAGCAGTCGAGACATATATGAAGTGGCTAAGAAGTGCCGGGAAGGCAGTCTGATCGTTGCTGGGACGTATGTGGAGGGGGAAGGGGTTTGGAGCAGGTACCCTGGACAATGCACATCGAATCGAAAACCCGGGGAATATTTGCTCCACTCCGGCAGCGTTTGGTGTTGCATATGTGTGTGTCCAACTGTGGCCTTGGCCCATCTGGCAGGAAAGGAGTAGATCCATCTCCCCGCCAAAGGAATGGATCCCTGGATCCTTCCTCAATGTCTCTCTCTGTTACATGAATGCGGGCTTCTTTAATCGTTGGCTAGTTTGGCTCCCTCTCGGCCATACAGGTTCTCAGTCGTTTCGTAGGATGAGGAAGGAAGAGATACAGCATTTATTCATTCAGAGCCCAGAGACTTAGGGTGCACACAAGAGTGCATGGGTGTATTCCCTGAGTTCATCTTTTGGAGGATTTTATGCCCTCACGAAAGGGAAGGTCGAGACCGAAAGCATAGAGATATCGAGGTCTTGGGTTCGCTACGGAGTCAAAGTCACGGTAAACGTTTCTGCATGATTTTATGCTCCAGCATCTTGGATATGAAGTCTGTGACATCCGCGTCCGGCCGATCGGATCGGTCCGGAGATGCCAGGACATGACTCAGCCGAATCTTGCAAGCAAGTGCAAGTTCACGCCCTGTGGAACTGTCACGGCTGCTATTCCCCGCCCGGTATTACCGGGAGGCTGTTTGTGTCGAGATGGTTTAAACACAGCTGAAAACTCTGGGGTAAGCGGTTGAATCCCTGCCACCGAAGCTGCTTTGTTGCCTCGTCGAAATTGCATGTCAAAGAATTGCGCGGATGGGCTAGTGGCGTCTTTCCCACGCCTCCGGTTCTCGATCATGGCGGTATGAGATGCTCTCTTGAATACTTGGGACGACCCGGTGGCAATAATCATTTATTTCCTGGATCAATATGATAAAGTGAGGCGGGATTCTTGATATCAAATGTCTTATCTAAGACTTCCTCTTCAGTGTCTTCAATGAGAGCTCAGCAGCAACAGCCCTATAGCCCGGTCTCCGAACCATGTCGGTTGCCGCCACCCTTCCTACACCGCATACAAGTAACTGGTGTGTGTGGTGTCATTCGTCTGGTGACTCGGCGGCCGCCGGGAGGTACCAAAGAACGATTTGGTTCTGAGAGGAATTGGAGGTTGGAAGGGTAACAAGTTAATGAATCCTTCGGTTTGGCGAGGTTGCACTGGTTCTAGGCTGTCAGACCGTGAGCCACACCAGCGATGAGCAAGTTAACACCGTGAACGGAAGGATTTCAAATGCCGGCTGGAGAGGCCAGATCTGAAGTATTTGGTCTGCCAATCTGCATGACGTGATGCGGGTTGGACTGCCTGAGAGGTGCTTCAAAAGGAGGGAAAATGGGATGGGGAAATAGCCTCTAGCTGCCTGCCAGGTGGACGTCGGAGTCGGAGAAAAACAGGTGATGGAATGAGCGATGGCGGATGAGTGTGGGGCAAAAAGCCAACGTTCCAGCGGTCCAATTTGCCATGAGGTCACCCACACTCCACTGTTCCTAACCCCAACACGCGGGCGGGATACTCCATGTACAACATAGCTCCTCAAATGAAGCCCGCGGGGGCTCAATTCTAGACCAAGTACTCCAATGACGAAATGCCTGATATGATTGATTAATATTCAGAGACTTCTTTTCACCCGCGAGTATTGGGAAAGTGTTTTCCGGCGTGGCCGAACCTTTGCTGCAGCGCTAAGGGCTTCGAGGCTTCTCTTGCTTCAAGGGGTACCAGGGTGGGAAACAAAGAGACTCGAGACTGTCTTGGACGGTGCCCGCCCTGGACTACTATGCCTCGAGGCATTAGGGCTGGAATGTGGTAGCTGGAGACACCAGAGGAAACATCTATCCTATCCAACCTTTCGATGAAGAGCAGCGTGGAACTGACGACCTTTTGCCCATCACGGACATTAGCACCCTTGGTACCCTCAAGCCAAGCGTCCGGAGTTAAGGGTCCGTTAGGACTGTTGTAGATTCTGATCCCTACGCTAACAAAACAGAGAACGCGGTAACAATGCTAAAGGTAGGGGTTCCCAAGTTAATTGGAAACAAGGCTTCTCCTCCTGGTATCTACCAGGACGAGGCCTGGAGCATTTCTGTCCGTTCGTCGGTCTTTGGCTGGGGACGATGGTGGAAAATGGTCGTCGCAAGCGTCCTGCCTTTCTAGGTTTGCAGGGGTTCCTTGGTCTGCCTTCCCTTCGATCGAATATTCACTTTGCAAAGCGGTAATATCAAGGGCAGCTGGGAAGGAGCGCACACTCCTCCGCCTTGTACCTTGAGGTTCTCATGCACACCTTCGTGGCAACCAACTTTTGATGGAATAACGCCGACTTCGCGTTGGGAAGCTTATCTCCGTCAAGAGGTGGGCCATTGCTGCTTTCTCATTCGTTGTCTCAATGCGGATCTTTGTCCTCTTTTTTTTTTGAGCAGGTAGGTACCATGGATGTCGGGTCGTGAACCTCTGTACCCACTACCTTTTGAGGCACATCCTTCCAGCTAAATATCTAGTGCGGACCGGATCAAAAAGGTAGACGATACACAAAGGTCAAGAGGCTGGGTTCCTTGCCCCGCCCTGTCCGGACCCTTTTCCCGACCGTCCCTCCCACTCCCATGTCTGTGACCCATGCGACAAGAGCCAATTTGTGCTACATGGACAGGACTCCACGAGTACGAAGAAAACCGGCACGAGTGCTGCTGACAAATTGACATCGAGGCGAGAAAGCCTGCGCCCTTGTTCTTCCCCTCTCTATCGGATTCCTTGCCCGTCCTCTGCCCACACCCCCAACTCAGACGTGATCAGATTGTTGCGCCTATCGACGGTTTCCCTTCTTCCCTTCTTGAACACGGGGAGATCGACTTTTGTTATTTCGCCGGGTGACTCAGGCAGCAGTTTTTTGCGTTTTGTTGCGTTGTCGTCAAAGCCCTGAAGTACATCTTTCCCAATTCAAACCCCACCTTGTACCTGTCCAACGTTCCCTCTGCCCCCAAGAACAAGTCTCCCCTCGGCTCTCACGTTTGTACGGACTACAGGACGTCAACCAAGAGGGCCCTGTCAACCTGTGTTGAAATTCTGAACTTGTTCCTGTCAACCCCAAGAGACTGATATCCACTCTGCGGTATCGACATACCGTATCTCTAGCTTTCCACTTTGTGCATTGCATTTTGCCTTCCACTCCCCAATGCGGTTTGCGCCTCGCCTTGCATAATCCGTAGCCCCGTCACTAGTTCGCCCCTCCCCCTTCGCCCCCCTCTCAAACAGTCATCCCTCCCCCCGTCCACATTCTCTTTCTTAGACCTGCTAAAGGCACTTTTCCTTGCAATCGGCCCTTGAAGAAAGACACAGCAAGCCCTTTGTCTGTAGTTGCGCCCTTGCCTGCCTCAGTCCTCACTTTCAGTCTCTCGAAGCTTAGTTTGCGGCCTATCGGCCAGCCAACCTCGACTCGATTTGTCCTTTCTCTTGCTCCAAGGCCTCGCAACACAACTCTCTACCCGTGACGATCCTACTGCGTCTCTGACGAGTACTCGAAGATGGCATCAACGGAGTCTCAGTCTCAGCGACCTTCGGTCCCTTACTACCTCTCACCGCAACAGCAGCAACTCCTGTTGGCGGCGCTTGGGGCCGAACAGCAGCGCGATGGGTCTATCCCCCTCACTTCTGCTGCCCTCTCGTCTCTCCAAAATGGCTCGATGGCCGCTACCGATCACAGTGCCGACCTCAGCGGTTTCCAGGATAGCTCGTTCATTGACGGCTACGACGTCAGTTTCAATCCCGATTCGAGCTTCGACTTTGACATCTCGCACGCCTCCATCCCGCACTTCACCGACGGCGATCTTGCCGAGACTGTAAAGTCGGAGAACTCGGGAGATAACGATTCTCCCGACAAGCGACCACTCGAAGATGATGAAGATTCACCTGATGCCAAGGGAAACGATGCGAAGAGGAGAGACGGCAGTGAAAAGGTCCCAAAGAAACCTGGACGCAAGCCTTTGACCTCGGAGCCAACTTCGGTGAGTTTACAACAAGATTTCAGCCGGTTCGCACACAGGATTTGTGTGTGTGCCAGAGTCGACATGAAAAGAGTAATTCTAACAGATTGTCTTTGCTTTTGTAGAAACGCAAGGCCCAAAATCGCGCTGCGCAACGAGCGTTCCGTGAACGCAAGGAGAAACATCTCAAGGATCTGGAGACCAAGGTCGAGGAGTTGGAGAAGAAGTCGGAAACCGCCACTAGTGAGAACGCGGTCTTGCGCAAGCAACTCCGCAGCGTCTTGGTCGAGCTCGACGAATACAAGCGCAAGGTGCAGGTTATAGGCAATACGCGGTCCACTACTCGCGACCGCGTACCCCGCGCCAGCTTCGGCCAGCCCGCCGTGAATAACTTGAATGACGTACACTTTCAGTTCGAGTTTCCCAGGTTTGGTTTCCTGCCAGGACCTCCAGCCAACTCCAAGCCCGTCAACGGCCAGCACAGCTCCTCGGCTTCGCCACAAACCCAGTCCAACTATGCTAGCCCAACGGATGCGTCTAGTAACAAGCAACACAATTCACCCGCTACGGCCTCCGTGACGACACCGAACCTAGGAGGAAACACGCTCCTTAACTCGCCAAGTTCACAAGCTGATCACTCAAGCGTGTTGAACGGGGGCAGGAACAGTCTTGATTCTGGCCGCCACAGTCTTGGTACTGGTGCCACAAGCTCGCCGTCCGGATCCTACAACTCTGTCGGCGGCCCTAGCTCATCATGCGGTACCTCTCCCGAGCCTTTCAACCAGTCACCCATGGGTTTCAAGCCCCTCGATACCATGACGACGATTGGTGAAGAGCATCCCGCTTTACAGACCTCTAACGGAGAAGCGCCAACAGGGTTCGGGCAGTTCCCAGGTGATGTCGGTTTCGATTGGCTCGCTCAGCAAAACGGCGGCCAATTCGACCCCCAACTCTTTGGTGACTACCGCGAGCCGCAAAACAATATCCTCTCGGGGAACAACTTCGACGACAGCTTCTTCAATGAGGCTATCGACGCAGACTTCTTTACTCCTTTCAATGTCCCTGCCAGTTCCACACCTGTAGTTTCTCCTCCTCAGAACGGCATCGCTTCAGATTTGGCCATGCAGTCCGACGCGGCATCCTCCAACAATGCCCTCCCGGGCGAGAAGAAGGTCGACTGCATGCAAGTCTGGTAAGTTACCTATCTTTTTCGTAAACGGGAAGTTCATATGACTAACGGTATATGCAGGGAGCAAATACAAAGTTGCGACAAGGTCAGGGCCGGCGATTTCGACCTAGATGGCCTCTGTTCAGAGTTGCAAAGAAGGCAAAGTGCTCGGGTGATGGACCCAAGGTTAAAGAGCAGGATTTTGAAGCCGTCCTTGGCAAGTATCTGGGACCCGACTTCCTCGAAAGATGTGGCAAGGGATCGTCCACGTAGGAGATGCTGGCGAAGCAAACGTAATTTGCCTTTTGTCACTGCGATGGCGATTCTCAGTTCCTACCTGGGATACCAGGACGGGCGGGATCTCTTCGTGGTGTACCGAACCCTGCATTTTTCCTTCTTCTTTGATATCCCTCACGTTACGCTTACAAGAACAAGTTCCGCTCACTTCACCCTGTACAATGGAAAACTGGAAGGTCTAAAAGTCCCAATGGGGAAATTACACAGGTTCTCGCAGGCGGCGGTTTGATCGGAGGTAACGGTTGTTATGGCGTTTTTTTCTTGTCTTTTCTCTCTTTTTCTTTCTCTCTCTCTCTAATTTGTTGTTTGTTCTCTTTGATATGAACGAACCAGATGAAGCACGATATTCAAGGCTTTGTGGCCTTGGCTGTGCGAAGGATTCTGGGGCGGACCAAGGCTACGCCAACTACAAATGTACAATCCAGTAAATAGCAGGTAAATCTCTTTTTGCGATGAATCTCATATTACTCTACATTGTTGTTTGAGGAAGTATATGTCGTATACGGTCATGGGTCGTAGCCCCATAATGGAATTGCAGCGGGACAAAGCCCGTCCGGTGCTATCTTGCTGTGATCAATGTTGTAGAATTGTAGCATGCATGCACCTTATCATGAGACGCGGATTCGCCTACAGATAACCTTGCTTTGTTTCCTCTTAAAAATTTTGCGTCCTATTGGGACTCCTCTACCAAATCGCTCCTGGGAAGGGGTCTGGCGGTGCGCGTGAGGGGTTCCGGGCGTATATCAGAGATTGGATTCTTCATCGTTTCTACATCTGGGCATGATTCTGGTCCAGGAAGACTCAGGTGCTGCCAAGATCACTGGGGACGAATGTTCTGGTTCGCTTTTGAAAGTGCCAGTGAGGGAAAACTAAGGGAAAGAAGTAACCCAAGGCCCCTTCCCCTTATTCCCGTCAAGTCATATAACTCGGAGGGCAACTTGATAGATCATTTGAGACTATCCCGGGCCCGTAAGAGGTCATATCTCGCTATTTTGATGGTGTTAGTTATGCTCTGTTCGAAACGGTGAGACATACCCACCCGGCCCTTTCTTGACAACGGGAGACCGCATCTACTATTCTCACTAGTTCTTTGACAGGCTTTGAAAGGAATTCAAGTGCATTTCAACCTCACTTGGGCTCAGCGGAAGGCCTATAGAGATAGCCTCCCACTAGGTTTGGGGTTGCAAAGACATGGCCGATTTTTGACTAACTTGTCGACCGAGCTACAACAAGCGGGAACGTATCTCTAACTATCGATATTCTCTAAGAGTAGACCTTGACCTTTAGTTTGAGCAACTGTATGGCTAGGTGGGATTGCCTGTGGGCTATTAAATCCAGGAAAGGCGGATCTCAGAGCTGACCCTATGTCCTACAAGACTTGTAGACATTCACAACAAGAAAGCTGGGTCTACTACCTTCACTGGCAGAGAGATGCTGGCTGACAAAATACATTGATAATTTGGCCGTCTTAGACATCTCGCTGTCGTATTCCAGAAACCGTACGCCCTCTGCAAAAAGCTTTCGACTTAGATGGCCAGTGAACAGCTCACTTGCTGTGGCATGACGTTGTGGTTGAGCAAATGGTGCTGAGAGGACTTGAAAGCGGAGAGGAACTCATCTGACTAAGCGACGTCAAGGTTCCGAGCACCCGCGTCAAGCCCCACTACTTGCCCAGCTGATCCCCCGCAATGGAGCACTGGTAATATCAATGGCCGGCGGGTTAACGTCTCTGATGGGAGAACAGTGCGCCATCTTGAGGATTGTGATGGCCTGACCGACTCCTGTTCGACCTTGAACAAACCTGCATGCTCGACAGACGTCCCCACGCGACACAATAAACACTCTACTACTGCAGGTCTCATATATACAATTTCAGACGAATCCCCTTGCCGAGCCAGCATTCAGCTCCCCTCGCTGGAGGTCGACGCCCTGCCGAAGCCAATTGCCTGAAACTACGAGAGGAGGTCAAGATGGATATTGCGTATGACCATATTCAAGAGAACTCGCTTCCTAGAGCGGGTGAAGAGAGCAAAGATGGCTCTAGAACGGATCAACCGCAGCAGCCGACGCTGAACGAAGATATACAGGAGGCATACAAGGCTTTCTCGTCGAGCGCCTGGGGATCCAAGATTGGCGGCTTCTTCGGTACTGTCGTGAAGCAGGTATGTACTCTTGTGCTCACAGAACTTTTTGCCGCTCTCGGGTCTCTTTCCAAGGGTACACCAAGACTTGAGAGGGCGGTGAAGCAGCCTGGGAGCTGGCTTCATTGGTACCCGTGGCCCAACCTAGCTAACACCTTCCCCTCGTTCAGGGAGGGCAAGTTTACACCCAGGCCCAACAGGAACTCACGGCCGCGGGCGGCGAGGCCACGCGTGGATTTTCTGACCTTCGAGAAGCCGTGATCAACCGTACGCGATCTCTTTCGTTGACGGCGGCGGGCCCCAACCAGCCGGGTCCCGCAGACGAAAACACGAGGGATGTGAACCAGGGGGACGCCGAAGACCGGGCGGCGACACCGACAAATAAAGCCCCCGAGGGCAACACCTACCTCGGAAGATTCAAGTCGGAAGCCGCCAAGAGGCTGCATGACCTCAAAAGGCCGAGGATGCCGCCGATGAGGCGCTGCTCCGGTTTGGAAGCAACATGCGCGACTTCTTGAAGGGCGCCATCACGATTGCGCCCCCGACCGATGATTCGGGCGAAGGCAGCACGGTCATGTTTGAGAGCAAGGATGCCCAGGGCAAGCGGGTCATCCACACGTCCCGCTTCGACGCCCAGCTTCACGTCATCCACACCTCTCTGGACGGCTTTAGCAAGGATCCCGAGAGCGAGGAGTTTGGCCCGTGGGCGGCGGATTTTGACGCAGAGAAGAAGACGACAGACATCAGCAATGACCTTGCCAAGTATCCCGAGCTCCGCGCCACGATGGAAAGGCTTGTGCCCGACACTATTCCGTATGCGGACTTTTGGAAGCGTTACTATTTATTGAGACATACGATCGAGACTGCCGAAGCCAGGAGGCGCGATCTCCTCAAGGGTACGATTTTCTTCTATCTTCACGCGATCTGTTTTTCATTCATTTTTTGAGAACCAAACCTTTCCAATGTCCCGATTATGCTAATATTCTATATTTTGTTTAGCTGCCTCTGCCGAGGATGAGGTTGGCTGGGGCGATGATTCGGACGACGACGATGCCGACAGCACCTCCCCGGCCCAGGAGGCCAAGCGCTCCGGATCCGCTGGATCCTCCACGACCATTCACCCACCAGTTCCCGCCGCAGTATCCTCTCTCAAGCCCCGCAAGTCCAACGACGAGAAGTCTCAGCCTGACAGCGAGGCAAGCTACGACGTTGTCGGTGCGCGATCGGGAGTCCCGAGCCAGGCGCCCAACAGCCCCAAAGACTCGAAAAAGGATGAGGAGAGCGATGATGATTGGGAATAACGGCAGTCATTCGCTTTTTCTAGGACGTTCCGGGCGATGGATCTCTTTGTTGGTTTATTCATAATATTCGTTTTTTGTTTTATGGCGCTGGTCGGGGTCACGGGGGCCTTGCTTCTTCGAAATCCTTCTCTCATCTTTTGCTCTTTGACGTTTTGATCGGTTGACCGATCATGGTAGGCGCCTTCGTGCCTAATTCTCTAGCACAAACACACCAGGGTTGGCTCTTGCCCCTCTTACCAAGCTTTTGAAAGTGACGCAATATTTCACTCTGGGAGAGTTGATCCTAGGCACCTGCCGTATGCTTGCCAACTTCCGGGATGCCAGTTTACTCCCGTAAAGAGCTGCGACAGCTACCTCTTTCTCGTAACCTTGGTGAAGCCCTCATCATCCACCTCCGGTTCGGGCTTCTCTTTCTTGGCCTTCACTAGAGCTGGCGCGTCTCCCATTTCCTCATCATCATCGTCGTCGCCATCGTCGTCGTCATCATCATCCCAGTCAGTGTCCTGATCCGCGTCATCGGCCTTTTTGAATAGGCCATCAATTTTCTTCCCTTCCCCATCCTGCCACCTCTGTCGCAAGACGTCGACGTTGTCGAATTTGCCCATGGCGCAGTCCCTCCGGATCAGTACGATCTGCTGGGCGACCTTCCATAACGAGGGGTCATTGTCCTCGACGACAACCTCAAACTCGTCGGCCATGATTTGTTGAAGAAAGTCTTGGATGTAGAGGTTGTCGATGTCCTCGGCCTTGGCGGAGGCAAAAGAAGGGAAGAGGTCGGCGACGGCGCCAGCAAGCCAGTCGCGCTTGTCGGCGGAGTCGGGCCCGCCGAGGCCCTCACGTACGGCGAGCGTTAGATCGGGCCAGAGGTTGAGAGCATAAGCGACGCCCTGTTCGAAGTTGGTCTGGCGGGTTTCTGTGGGCGAGACGCGGCGTGTTAGTTCTTTAACCCCCCCGGTTCCCGATGCGCGAGACGCTGTCCCACTTTCTGGGAACGATGAAACCAAAGGATTGTAAAACTAGAGAAACAAGGTAGAAAACCAAGGGTTCATGACTTACCCGCCGGGGAAGGCTGGAGCTGTCGTTCGAAGCCATGATCGCGAGGTTATCACAGTCAACGGCGAAGGGCGCATGCGCATGCAGAAATAGATGGCAGATAGATCTATCTCCCCACTAGGTTCTTTTTTTTTTTTTCGTCGTGGTGGTCCAGAATCTCCAGTCGATGGAGGGGTCGTACAGTTGAAAGAATGATAAAACGCACTGTAAGCCATCCGTTTTTGGGTAAATCGAACAAAGGTACATTTCGGGTCGAGGACAATTGATGACATCATCAGCATTTTAGTCTCTCGAGTCCAGCAGTTCAGGTACCGTGCATCCAGTTGTCGTTCAATTTCATTTGCTCTCTTTGTCCGGGAAAGTCCTCACAAATGGCAAAGCCTGTTTCTAGTCCGACTCGGGCTTACCTGAACCGCTAATTCTCTCTTTATCCAGAATGTAGACGCCATGGGGAAAACCTCCTGAATTCCTTCGCTTCCTGCCCTTTCAAAGACCTCCCTTGCCTTTTTTATTTTTATTTTTAATCCTCTCTCTCGAAATCGAAATGTTGGGTGAAGCCCTTTTGTTCGGCACAGCGATCGATTCTCCTGCAATCTCCCTCTCCACTACAGCATGCGACGTGTCTACCACGCGTTGATCAAGAACCTCAGCATGCACAAGCTTTCGACAACCACCGTCTCCCTGGCGGTGATGCCAACGGTGATCGGCACCTTTTTTCCCATGTAAGCGTCATTCTCACCCAAAGTGGTACGTCGATTAGCTTTTGTCGTGAACTTTACACGACTTTCGACGTGCCACACCCTCTTCCGCTAGCCCTTTCGAGAAGCTTGCCGGTCGGCATCAAAGGCTAACCTTTTCCCCTGACGAGCAGTATCTTAATCGCCAACCCCTACACCAGAAGCCTACCGCGCACCTGTCCTATCACGAAGGCCTTCACCTGATCAAGGCGTTTCTCGAATTTTCGTCCCACCATACCGTTGAGGAGCTGCAGGCTTTCACCGCTCAATGGGTACCTCATCCGCAATGGGTCAAGGTCAAGAACGTGGAGATACCGGAAGAAAAGTTATCGCGCGCCGCATCCATTCTACAGGAGCAGCTTGGCGAGGACGGCATCCGAAAAGTTGGGGGACGCGAGTGGTGGCAATGGAGGAAACCAGACACCCCGCTCAAAGCGGAATGGATTGAGATGCGAGAGGACTACAATGCGCGCAAAGCCAAGGGCGAAGCTGGGAACCGCGTTATGCTCTACGTTCATGGCGGGGCGTACTATTTCGGCAGCGTTGACGAGCACCGATATCAGATGCAACGACATGCGAGAAAACTCAAGGCTAGAGTCTTTGCGCCCGAGTACAGACTCGCGCCCCAATTCCCCTTTCCCTGCGGACTCCATGATTGTCTCGCGGCATATCTGTACTTGCTTGAAGAGCGGGATCCGAGCACCATCGTTTTGGCGGGAGATTCTGCCGGCGGCGGCATGGTCATGTCCCTTCTTGTGACTTTGAGGGACAGAGGCATCCCATTGCCCGCCGGCGCTGTGCTCATAAGTCCCTGGGTCGATCTGACGCACTCCTTTCCAAGCGTGGCGGGGAAGGCTTACTCGACTACATACCTCCTTCCGGGTTCCATCATAAGCCCTCCATGGTATGGCCGCCGCCGAACGAGGCGGAGATGGATGCCATAAAGCAAGAGGCGCGCGAGAGGAAAGCAAAGCTATCCCCCTCATCCATCGAGGATCTTGGGGATAAGAGTCTCGGCGTCCCAGCCCCCAATCCTGGGGAGACGCAAGAAGGCGCGAATGCTGCCCACGAGCGCCAGAAAGAGGCCGTCTCACGCATGTTAACTGTAGATATCGATGACCAGACGGTGAAGCTTGAGGATCAGATTCAGGTTTGTGCGAGGCCGTGACGTACCTTAGGTTTGCTGCTGTGCTAATCAATTTCTGGGGTTTAGATGTACACTACAAATGAGCTGCTATCGCATCCACTTGTAAGCCCTGTTCTTCAGCCTTCGCTTGGCGGACTGCCGCCGCTTCTCATCATGGTCGGCGGAGCCGAGATGCTACGCGACGAGCAAATCTTCCTCGCTCATAAATGCGCTATGCCAAAGAAATACTGCCTCCCACCCGATGCCATGACGGATTTGGGAAAGTCACAGCTGGCGGAATATCCACCCACGCCGGTTCAACTGCAAGTGTGGGATGATCTTTGCCATGTCGCGCCAACCCTTAGTTTCACCAGGCCAGCGAAATACATGTATCGATCAATCGCCCAATTCAGCGCATGGGCGCTCGCCCGGGCACAGAACACCTCAATCCAGATTCTCGACGACGATGCCATCTCCGTCATTTCAACGGGATCAGAGACGGAGGACGACTCGCGGGTAGCTACTCCAAAGCCAGCCACTCCGGGCGAGAGCAGAGAGGACGTTGCCCATGCGGTTGGCAAAGCCGGAGATCCTCTGCCCCCTTCGAGGATTCGATGATCCGCCAGCGCGTTACTAGACATGGGGTTATCCTTCCTCTAGAGCCGGAACTCGAACTCGCTGCCTGTATCCTCAAGCCTTGCGATGTCGGTGTTGTTAAAGAGGGCCCGGTCCGTAGATGGCTTGAGGCGAGGAAACGCTGGGACACCCGCTACGCTCGAACAAAGTCTAGGGTCCACAAACAACTGGTGAAGGAGATGGCAGATGGGTATCTTCACTTTGGAGACGGCGAAACGCCACCCCCAGTGCCATTGCGGGGCGTAGAAAGTCCACAACATCTTGGGGAGACTGGGGAATGAAGAAGACCAGAAGCTTGGGCTTGGGACTATGGTCACTTTGGGGCTCCAAGCATGACAAGGCGACAATGGTGAGGGAGTCCAAGGCGGACCAGGCTGCCCAGGTTTCTGGACAGACCGATGACGCCGAATCAACAATCGACCCCGACCACCTTACTGTGCCCACTCCAGGGGAGCGCGGAGGGCGCAGTCGATCTGGCTCCCACAGGGTTGTCATCGACGAGAACCAAACTGGCGAGGATGAGTTGGCGATTGACCGCGAAGAGACCCTCGTCGAAGACCTGCTGAGAACCAGGCAAAAGAATGAAGCAGATAACCGCGAGTTGCTTGGATCAGACTACATCGCCGAAACAGGTGTTGCGGGAAGCGGCCAATGGTAGGGGCATCGCAGTGCCATTCAGTCTCAACAAGGATGCGACTACCGCCAGCATGGTCACTCTTCACTCGGACAGCGAGGAAGACGAAGTCGCCGGGACCGCAACGACCGATGCAGACCTCGAGAAGAGACCCCAAGCTGCGCAACCCACCAGAGGAGAAGAAAAAGCATTTGGCGAACAGGGCCCCGAAATTCGGAGCAAGAAGGAAACGACTGTGTAAATTATAAATAGCAACATTTTGAGCGACCGAAGCCTTTTTTTTTTTTTTTAGGCGAGGGTGGTTTTTCTTTTCCTTTGTCTAACAACACCAGATTTTTCGTTGGCTGTCATTTCATTGTGTACTACGTGTAGAAAACAAGCTTAATACCATATTCCAATAATAGCAATATTCACTGTCCTGTCTGATCCGCGCAGTTGCCAGTTTTTGAGTGATTGATGATATACCAGGATGGGGGCAGCCCTCGCCACCTCACCTGTGACAAACCCCCTCACCTCGACGTAGCTCGGCCCCATGCGGTGTTCTTTTTATAAAATAGGCTTCAAAATATATGTCAACGAGATTCGAAACGCACTTCATACGTAGCGAACAGATCCAAGAACGTTGGTACAGTGTATTTTGTTGTTGTTGTACAAGATCTATCAGGGTATAAAAACCAGATGGCTCACTCGGAGATGGAGGCCAGCTGATTCCACCCCAAGCTCACACGAGCTCTCCCAGTTGCTTAGAACGGGCTGTGCAGTCAAATCGAGGCCCGATATCACTAGGCCATCGCGGCGTCTCTCCCGCCCCTTCTCTCTCCCGCGACAAGCTTGCATGGTCTCCTCTAGAACAAGCTGGAGGCTTGCTTGCCCTTCCGCTTCCCAAAGCCGAGTCCTTTCACATTTCATATTGTACAAGTGGTAACGCCATGTCCGAATCGCCTCCACCATATTTCTCTTCTTCCCGCGACCGTTTAGTCGACACCGTTCTCGGCCTTCCATCGCTCCAGGTAAGCTTCGGGGTCCTTGGGACCCTTGGGGTTCCCTTGGTAGAGGCCAAAGAGGGGCTTTACCGTTTTGCTCACAAAGGGGTAAGCTGGTGATAGAGTTAGCGCATGCCCAGTTCCAGCAGGAGAACGAAGAAAATATAGGCGAGAGGAATGAAAAGGACGCCCGCCTTGCCCGGGCTCCCATGATGGACAATCGAAAGAGCAGCGCTGGCCCCCGCGCCGCCATGGACCGACATCGGCAACAAATCGCGTACGCAGATAACTATACGACAGGAGGAGACGACAGAGAAGAAAGGAGAAAACTTACGCTGAATCCTTCGAGGGAGGGCACCGGATACGTCCGCACCTTGTTCCACTCGATGATATAACCACCGTACTTGGTATGCCGACCCATGGCACCCGTTCTGTTGCCCTTATAGAAGCCCTTCTTGACGTCCTTGGTGGTAAGCCGAAGCTTCCTGAACTTGATCCCGAGCGAGAGCGTCGGTCTCATCTTGGCTGAATCGCTCGTTTCGTCCTTTGTTGTTTTAGGGTCGGACGTGTCACGTCGTGTTGCGGGAGCTCGACAGTCGTCGGGTATGGAAGGGAGAATCGCGAGTCTCCTTCTTTTTCGGTTATTCGTCGTCCTCAGGGAGAGGTGAAAAAGGCAGCAAGCGACAGGATCTTTGCCTTTAAAGCCACTGCGCGAGTAGGTCGATTGAGATGGTTTCCTCACGCGATGCTCACCAAGCTCTTCTTTGTTGCAGCAATTTTTTCCGGCCCCTTTGCAATTGAAGACAATGTGCTGACTCATCGGTTGATACAGTATGGACTTGGTCTTGAGACCGTGCGTTCGCACCTGCACGATGGCAGAATCCAACCCCTGATAATTCAGGCCATGACATTGTCCTTTGCTGTCGACCTTGGAAATTCCCGCCCAAGCCGCCTAATGATAACACATTATTATTCACAGGCTCTGCAGTGTCTCAGAAGAACAGTCACGTGGTTAATGCCATTGCAATTGATGGCCATTGAACGATTCAATCCAGCGTTTGGGGAACTTTTGGGCCATGATCTGTGTCTCAGGGCAGGGTGGTCGCGATTTAAGTTGTTCGAGGGGAAATGCTAGAAGGCACCGGGGGCGGGCAATCTTTTGACAAATTACCCAGAAACGGTCCTAACCCGTTCTCCCCTGGTCTCCAGGGCGCCAAAACGTCTCCAGTCTGGTGCGTAGAGTTTTGTTTCCAACCTTTTTTTTTTTTTGGTCTTATTGTCCCCCCTCCCCTTCCCACCCTGGCTCGGCAGCGAGATCTCCACGTTTCCTTCGCTGCGGCCGGGGGCCTGCAAGTTTCCCGCGGGTGGCACAAACGCAGGGAAGGGGAGGGGAAAGGCAAAGGAAGGACCAAAAAAATAACTCTAAAAACAATTTTCCGTGATGCTCCCGCTCCTTCCCCTTCCCCCTCCTCATCTCTTCGCATCACCAAAAGAAGACACACACAAAAAACAAGGTGTGAGGGAGAAGCCGCCCGCCAAGTGCCGAGTCGTTTCACTGATGCATCAAGTAGCAGAGGGTGCTGCGTGGATCATCCGGGGTTTAGTGGCTATTTTGGGCGTCGCTCGGATATCTCCCAGCCCTTGTCTGGGCCTGTCGCAGGACGACGCCCGACTTTGGTGGGGGACGTTGTTCGCTTTGATGGGAAAAAGTGGGGCGCATCACACGGCCCCATCTACACGTCGCCATCTTGCCCATCTTGGACCATCTTGCCCATCTTGCCCATCTCTGCCCCCAGCATCGGAATGCGACTGTGCTGCTGACGACGCACGGGACCTGCGATCCCACCTCCAACCTTGTTCGATGCAGCGAAAAACCTTAGAATTCAGCAGAAAACGCGTGTGCAGGTTGGCCCATTGTTTCACACCCTCTCGTGTTCTCTCCCCCCTCTCCTTCTATCTTCTGCTCTGCTGCAATCCACCGGGTACTAGCTGCTACAGGAAGTTGAACGATTGGGGAAGAGTTTCTTAACATCTTCGGAACTGCATTTCGCTGATAATCCGAGCCTCACCTTTCCGCGTGCAACGCCCGATGCCACGTTTTCGACACCACGCACACGCACGCGCACACGCACACGTACGACCCTTGTCCCCCTTTTTTCCCCCACCCTTTTTCTTTTTGTCAACTTGACGCCCGAAAAAGTCGATCAATAGATGCTATTTCCTTGTTCCCGGCCCTCGCTCCGCCGCGGAACGGAGCGTATCAAAGTCTAACTGTATCCGTCCCAGTGTTAAGCCCGATGGTCCTCGCTGACCTACCGTAGGTCGGGTCGGGCGTAATGCTAATATAGAATATGTAATACACATTAATCGTGTCTTTGGTAGTCAATGTGTAGATCACAACGCCAAGCAAGGCCTCTATGCCCCTTTTTCCCTCAGCTTGACTTGTCCGTTTCCGCACTGCCGTCCTTCTTTTCCTACCGCCTAGGAGTCTTTCCTTGAGTGTGACCTTGGTCTTCTCCTGTTTCTTCTCGTAAAGAGGTTTGTGCTCCTCATGGATGTCGTGGTCGTGTTCGTAATCGACATGAACAAACGCTCTCTCAACGTCACCCAGTCCTAAGAGGTCCTCGTTCGTCAGTGGCGCGCTTCCTTCCGGTTACTTGGTATCAAACGTACCTTCGATTTTTCTCTGGAGAGCCTGAGCAACATCGTGAGTAACTTTCAATGGGGCAGATTCATCCATAACCACGTCGACCTCGACGTAATACTTTGGCCCGCATGGTATGCACGGCACTAACATGAGTTCCTGATTAGCATTTGCAAAAGCGAAGTGCCTAACAAAAGTCCAACAGAGGAAGAAGAGATGCCGCTCACAGTGTCTACTTTCAATATCCTCTCATCGTGCGTCATGGAGATATAAATCAACTTGTTGACAAACTCCCGTGGAGCGGACTTGCCCACCAGCAACCAGACCTGCTCGAACGCGTTTGCCGTCCAGGAGAACAAGATGATGAGGGCAATGCAGATGGCGCCAATAGGATCCAGGTACCATTCGAACTTATCACCAGTAATAGCCATGATAAGTCCAAAGAGGTTGACCGCGATATCATTTCGATGATCGATCTTTGAATCGATGACAAAAAAGGGTCATTGATTAGTCTCTGTGTATTCCAAGACATACGAGCGGGGAGGGTGAGGTCCTTACGAAAAACACATGGACCGATGGATACTTTCGGTAAAGAAGCAGTATACCATCAAGCTAGCCTTTGCAAAGACTTGTTTCGAAGGTAGGAGGAGTCAGCATATCTTAACCTGCTAAATCAGGCGGAGTGGCGGCTGGGAATGCATACTTGCTACGCTCACGAAAATGATCGGAACCAAGTGCAACTCTTCGGACTCCTGCTTTCCATTTCCAAGAGTACGGCCAGATTCAATCTAGCGTGGTGTGTGAGTCGAGGCTTCGAACTGCTCGGGCGTTGCAGATAGGGTATGGGGAAGAAGAACTAACCAAGAGCTGGATTGCAACCGTCGTCATCAATGCGCAGAAGAGGATAACACCAATAGTCTCAATCCTCGTGCGACCCTACATATAAAGGTCAGAACGTGTCCCCGAGAAAGAGAACAGAAAAAGCATGACGCAAAGTCTGCAGAAAAACATACGACGGGGTACTTGTACACGCTTGGCCTCGCCGCCATGCGGGAGGTGATGAGCATAACAAAGGAAGACACGAGGTCCATCTACTAGACGTCAATACTGCACTACGTATACGCAAAGGCTTAGGCTTCGTGAGTAGGAATCTACTAACAAATGCATCCGCAGCGGTAGCAAAGAGCTATAGAAGAGTCAGCATTTAGAGTCACATTTAGTTGTAGCATAACGTAGAAAGGGTGGACAAGAGGTGTCTTCCAAAAGAAAAGAAGAAGAAAATCGTACCGCGAGAGAGCCGGTTGAAATGGCTGCGTAAAGCTGGATAACAAAGAGGCAAAAGTTGACGGTAAACGAGGCGTTGACGGCAAACCTGATTTTCGGGCCCATGCGAACATCCTCCTCGACGGCAAGACGCTCCTCATCGTCAGCGCCGAGAAACTGGTCAATCAGACGGTTTTGTCGCGTGTAAAACTTTTTAATCTTCTTCCCGTTGGCGTTTGGGTGGTCCTCTTTGATCTGGCGGCGCGTCAAGTTGTCTCGACGGTGCCGCCCAAAGTCGAGCGGGTCGGCGGGGTTGAGGACGGCTACGCCCTGCACGACGGACTCTGCGCCTGTGCTGCATTTTGCGATAGTGCCTTGGTCAGAGCCCGCCTTCTCGTCTCTCCAGGGCGGGGACGAAACGTCTTGCGTGGCAACCGGCGTGATGGCGTCTACTTTTGCTTCAGACGGCCGCGATGCTGAAGGAATGGCAAGAATTAGCTGTTAGTAGATGCTTTCCCCAAAAGGGCCACTGGACCGGCTTCAATAGTATGAAAGCAGCAGCAAGAAAATGAAGCAAAAACAAAACAAAAAAGAAACATATAAATAGATGTCAGGAAGGCAAAGGGACAACGACATCCGAAGGCGTAGTGCGGCAACGGGCGCACAGATACACGACCGTGAGCGCCACATGCCTCGTCGTCGCTGGTAGGCGGACGAGATGACACTTAGGACTTGGCGACCGAGACAGGACTCGTTCGTTGTGTATGTCGCCCGGCTTACAAGATGCTATTCTTGATCTACGCGGGGTGATTGCGGTTCCCTCAGCCAAGCTGCCCTTATCCCTCCCGCTGGGTCTTGGCCAGTGGCATAGCGAGTTCTTGGCTTTTCCTTGGCCCTGAAGAGAGGGAAAGGCCAACCGAGACAGAGGATAAAAGGGGCATCCAAACCCAAACAGAAAGATAAGAAAAGAAGGACAGAAAGAAAGACGGCTTTATGCGTGGCCAACACCTACCAGGGCGTTTCTCGTCCGAGGACTGAGAAGTCTCGGCGTTGGAAGTCATCTCTTCTCTCAATCAGGGCAAGTTTGACGGTGCTTCAGAATGATGGGAATTCTGCACCAGGTGGGGACGAGAGTGAGAGGGGAGGTTGATGGATAATGAGAAGCGCTATGTTGACGAGGGAAGGAAATGAAAATGAAATAGAAAATAAAAAATAAAAATCCAAGCTTGTCTATCACCAAAAAAATTACGGGAAAAGGCGACTGCGAGGAACGAGACCACAGACGGAGTACGGCAAGTTGGCTCACTAGTCAAGACTGGAGCTCGCGACCGACCGCTAACACCCCCAGTCGAAAGTGGCAATCGTCGGGGGAACTGGGGGCGGGTATTATTTCGCCGTGCGCCAGTTGACTCCCCCAAGTTGAGGATTGTTGCCCACTAGCTCCGGGAGTTCAAGTGCCTCTTGCCGTAGCGAAGAGCTCGGAGCATTATTCCTCTGGTGTCTCCTCGAGAGAGTGATCAAAATGGAGCACCAAATCCTTACTCGACCAAGTTCTCCTCGCAGCGTCGTGGAGGTTCGTCGCAAAGAGGTCAAGGGGCGGGGGAAGGAAAGCTCCCTGGCTTACCAAATACGGGGCTGCGATAGGCTGGAGGACAAACGCACGACGGTGCATGGATCCATGGATGGTGCATCAATCGATGCATAGACACTTTAATCCTTGCACTGGTTCCAGAAGCGAGTATCGAGCCGCCCTTTGCCCACCATCCAAGGAACCTTTTCGGGGCCGGATCTCCACCTCTTTCCAATCACCCGCGCAACCTGAAAATTTTTGGGTCCATGTGTACAGAATATGGCAGTGACTTGCGTGGATCAACGCGTTCCAAGTGTGGTATGTTGTGTGGTGTATTAGCCCAGGATGAGAAGACGTTTTGCTCTGTTCAATGGCGAATGGCAATGTGGCAACCCCCAAAGATGTTGGCCACTGGACATCCTTTCACACAAAGACACTGATGGAGAACCATCACGAATTATCCGCTGGCCTAGCGTGAAGAAGCAGGAGCGGATCAAGACTGGCGATGCCTCCGATATCAAGCAGCGCTGCTCCGCGTGGTCATCGACATGAACACTAGACTCTCTTAAGGATCTTTAGCCCCCGAAGCTGGGCGGCGGACAACTCCACTCATCGCGATCAAGTGCTCCACCCGATGCCTTCGTCTGTGATAAACCTGTTCAATTGATCTCCTAGCGCTGCAGGCCAGAACATTCCTCTGGGCCTAAAGTCTACCAGTCTTGCCAGTGTGACCCCCTTTCTCCTCCCTCGTCTTCGTAGTGCCGGCTTCTGGCCACACTAGCCCCACCGCGACTAGGATCAATTGACTTGAATCGAAGCTGAGGCTTTGGGGAACTTTTTGTGGGGATTCTCTGGCGATAATAGTGGAGGAAAGGGGCGCGAGGGGGCCCAAAGGGCTGATTGTGATCCGCTTGGAACATAAGTAAGGAGAAAAAAGAATTACCAAAAGCTTATTCCCACGGCCAGGAGCAGACGAAACATCCACGAGTATCGTCAGCCTGGCCGTGTTTTCCGATATATTTTTATATTTGATTCATCTTCTTTTTGTGTTTTCGCGGTACTCGAATCGCGCCGCTTTAACCGGCTGTGGGTATCAGTAGTAGAGGGAACAGGGATGGGAGGAGAGGAGGAGGCAACGTTGAGTTCTATTCTGGATCGACGGCTCCCTTTTTTGTTTTCTCTTATTTTTGCGTGTGTGATTCCTTTTCCCGCGAACCGAACCTTGTTTGGCTTTGAACTTTTGACAGCTCGAGATCAGCGATCTCGACGCCCGGGCCTGTGCGCCTGGAAGGTCTTGTATCCGAAAAAGGCTGGTGGGGTCGACGCACGCATCACATCCGAGAGAGACAACGGATCCATTACATTACATCCATGTACACTAGAAAGAGAGCACAGAGAAACAAGGCACTCGAGTCCAGAACTGAACTAGTGTGTTCTGCACTCTTTATCGCTTCGTCTTATTAGACAATAACCTAATAACTCGGATGCTCTGTGCTGTGATGCGATGCAACCTCGTGGCTCCCCCTCTACTCACATGCCGACGTCCCGAGGAGTATTAATATGACCAACGTTGAATACAATGAATTGGCTCCATCTAAGTAAAAGACGCGATACTACGAAGCGAGAACAAAAGCAATGGTTCCATTGTAAGACGGATTTCCATACCCTTGAAGCTCACTCTAGCCCTCACCCCTTTCTCTCTTTCTCGAGTGGAAAAAAGGGGCAAAAGTAAAAAGAGGAAAAAAAAAAAAAAAAAAAGAAGAAAAAAGGCAAAGCAAAGCGATCGGTTGGCTACATGCTACAGGAGCGCGCGTGAGTGGAGTGACAAATCTGGCGGAGTTTGAGGCAAAATTTCCAGACAAGATGAGTCTGGGCTGCCCCCATTTTTCCGTAGCTACGTCAAGTCCAGACGGATATCGGGGTATCGGGGTATATACCACCACCAAAGGTCATCGAGACAGGCGCGGCGCACGCAGCAAATGGAATGGGTCAGTCTGCTCATGCCTCGGTAGGAGAGGAGACAAGGGTGGAAGAGGAAGTGCTCCGAGCTGTGGGTTCCCGGTTCCGAATCGAGTAACAGTAGCTTTTCTCCCGCTGCAGGCGGCAAGGCGAGACAGCTCGGCAACCAGACTTGTGCATACCGAAGCAGGCAAACTCAAAAACCCAAAGTGCCCGAACTTAACTCTCCGAAGAGCCTCCTCCTCCTCCTTCTCCTCCCCCTGAGAGCAAGGCACCTGGGCCTGGGATCGGATCACACCTTGCAGCCTGGGCCCTGACCAACCCACCCAGCTTGCCTTGGAACCCCCACTCGGACAAAGAAAGTTGGAGAAACAACGAAACGACATTTGTCCGGCCCGGGATCGCTGGGCTGACGACGGGACGGGGAAAGGGGAAGGGGAGGGAGGGATGCAAGAGAAGGAATGGGAGATATCTCGAGTCGAGGTTGGGATGCATTTTCCAAGGCTGGAGGCGTGGAGGCGTGGAGGCTCTCACCGAGGTCAAACTACTAGATCGAACTATGATTATTGTATCTTGGCACAGTACATGTATGAAGAGAAAAAGAAGGAGTAAGAGAAGGAGAAAAAGGGGGCAAGTCGATGCGGAGGCCGATAGTCGACTGGGCAGATAATAGCAAAGCATGGATGGCAGCTGGAGAAAATCATATCAAGATACCCCGAGCAAGAGGGCACCAGTAACCAGCTCGAGCCAGCTCAGGATCAGCTATCGTGGACCGTGCTCTCTCTATCATTACTCTTCAAGTGCTAGTTCACGACACTGGGTATCTCGTGGATGCCAAGGGGGATTCGCACATCGTCTGATTCGGTTGGTAACGCGATTCCTCCTCGATGATCGATTGCCCGTCTCACGCTTTTATCGGCACGAACGTGGGTTGCGCATCTTTGCTATAGCCATATAGCAAAGCTTGTTGGCCAGAGATCCCGGCCTTATCAGAGACCTTTTGTTCTTTTCTTTCTTTTTTTCCTTGTCCTTCTGCGGAACTGAAACTCTCATCATCGCCAACCCTTGCCTCGCTTCCAGCAAAGAGAGAAAGGCGAGCCGAGCATATGTGGAAATCCGCCATCGCTCATGGCCCCATCAACTAGGATTCATCTTTGACGTCTTTCTAAATCAAGGGTTCCTCACCTGAAAACCAATCTCGAGACAGATATTTCGGTGATATCTCGCCTGGCACGACTGGCCGATGCTGAACTTTTGATAGCTCGAGCTGGAGATATGTGGGGAGCAAAAAGGGGGCGTTCGGAGGGGAACCGGGGGAGTGGTGGAATAGGGCGCGTTTTTGTCGCGCCGGCCGGCGACGGTTGACGGTGACGGTTGGACCCGAAACACTGCTGGGGAAAAATGTCCGAAAGCTAAACCCCTGGTCGATCGGAAACCCTCCCTCCCGTTTACACTGCGCGCGAAACATTGAACTCTTTTTTTTTTTTTGGCCCAGCGCCAAGAAGTCTAAAATTTGGCCGCGTGGAACGAAAAGAAGGTACGAAGTATTCCGCACAAAAGGGGGGCACTGGGACAAGGGAAGCGAGGGCAAAGGCAAAAGGCAAAAGGCAAAAAGAGAGAGCCAGCGACACGAGACTACGCTACACTAGACACTAGTACCATACGCTTTGGTACCAGCCTCTAATAATATCCCGAAACGCGCACTCCGGGCAATCCTCTCCCCCAATGGACCGGCCCCAGCTCCGTTTCATGCCCCCTATCTACCGTCTCTGGAATTCGTCTCAGCCGATGGACACCTCTCTCTCTCTCTCTCTCTATTTTTCCCTTTTCCACCCCCTTGTCCGCTGAGCACCAACCTAATGTTGATCGGCTGTAAGATCACACCCCCAGCCTGGTCAAGCCAAAACATGGGCGCCCCTCCTCCCCAGCCAAAAGAATGGGGGCTAGACTATAGCCCTGTAGCAATGGCAATGGAAGCAATGATGATATGGGAATAGTAATGGACGCGCCGAACTGATAGGTCTTATTATTATCGGGTGGGTATCTTGGTTCGTTTGGGGCCAGGCCTTTGTGGCTTTCCAGCGTCAAGTGTGAAGCTCGCCCGCCCGTGCTAGCTACCGCTACAGCCCACTTTGACCCCATGGACCCTGCCGGCCAGCCCATACTGGAGTTGCCCGACGTAGATCGTAGCTTGATGTTCTCCTAATAGCTGATGAAATAATGTAGTCTCTCGTCGTCTAATCTTTCCCACTTCTCGCCTGCGAAGAGCTCCTCTGCCCACGACATCAATCGAACGCCTCTTGCGCAGGTCTTTGATGGATCGCTTTTGATCTTCTTATTCCCCGCCTTCCCTTCCCACCATCCTTCTTTTTCTTTCCTCTTTTTTGCCAAGCCTGACTTAAAGTCGATGATGGCTTAAGTGTTTTTTTGCTACTTGGTTGTGTGTTTCTTTTCATTTTTTCTTTTCTTTTCACTTCATTTCGTTCGACGTCTGGGCATCTGGCCCCTCACGTCTGTTCTCTTCGAGGCTGCTGTGCGGTCTCTTTTTTCCTATCCTATCTCATTCGCATCTTTTCTTTTACGGTCCCCCCGTGGCTTCAAGTCAACCGTTCCGTCCTCTTCTATCCTTTTTAGAAAGTTGTCGAGAAATCAAAAAGTCAATCATGGACCCATTGGAGGATGTAAAGCCCGCCTGCGGCAGTGGCACCATCCAGGGCGAATATGACTTGGGCATCCACGTTCTTGGACTGTGTTAGTGCAACTCTCAGCTCAAGGTTCGGCCTCATCTCTTTGTAAGGTCATGCTAACGCTTCGCTTCTACCCCACAGTCCTCGTTCTCACGGCGTCCATTCTCGGTAAGACACCTCCCCTTCCTGTATCAACCGACCTTTCAGCTAACCCTTGCGCGCGTCTTCTCAGGTTGTGGTTTCCCCGTGGTTGCAAAGAGGGTTAAGTGGTTGAAGATTCCCCCGCCAGTCTTCTTCGCCGCGAAGCACTTTGGTACCGGTGTGCTGATCGCGACGGCCTTTGTCCATGTTAGTCCACCGTCCCCAGTCCACAGTCTTCGCCTTCCGCGGGTCTCGATGGGGCTCCCAAAAGGCAAGCTTTACTAATCCCTTGTCTGGCAGCTTCTCCCCGTGGCCTTTGCCAGCTTGACCGACCCCTGCCTCCCCGATCTCTTCATCGTCCAGTATCCCGCCATGCCCGGCGTCATCATGATGGGCTCCATGTTCTGTCTCTTCGTCATCGAGATGTACATGAACGCCAAAACCGGCGGCCACTCCCACGGAGGCCCCACCGGCCAAGCGCCCCCTCCGGCATGGCCATGGGTCCCCGAGGCCCCGTCGCCCCAGCAGCGTCAGCTACCCGGACGAGAAGAAGATGCAAAACATGTACGAGGACGAGTACGCCCGCACCATGCAGGACAACCCCTTCATGACCGGCGACGAAAAGGCCCAGTCCGACATGCCTGCCTGGTTCATCGTCTTTTACGAGCAGTACGTCCGCCAGCGGTTGGAACTCGTCAAGATGGTGCAAAACAGCTCCCCGAGCTACTCCGCCTCCCAGCACGACCACGGCCACTCCCACAACGCCGTCGAGAACTTTGACCCCGAGAACCAGGCCGTCGACCCCGCCGTGTACAAGAAGATGTCGGCCCAAATCACCATCCTCGAGGGCGGTATCCTTTTCCACTCCGTCTTCGTCGGCATCACCATCTCGCTCACCATTGACGGCTTCATCGTCCTGCTCATCGCCATTCTCTTCCATCAAATGTTCGAAGGTCTCGGTCTCGGTTCCCGTATCGCTGAGGTCCCCTACCCCAAGAAGAGCTTCCGACCCTGGGTTTTGGTGGTGGCTTTCGGCACCACCGCCCCCATCGGTCAGGCTATCGGTATCTTGGCTCGAGACTCCTACGATCCCAACAGTGCCTTTGGTCTCATCATCGTCGGTGTCTTCAACGCAATGTAAGTCTTGAACCCGTCGGGGAAACATCGCCCACCCCCTTACCCACTTCTGTCCGCCACACCATGGATCCATCATGGCTAACAACCGTCGTGAATAGTTCATCCGGTCTCTTGATCTACGCCGCTCTCGTCGATCTCCTATACGAAGACTTCCTTTCCGAGCATGCCACCCAAGTCATGAACAAGGCTACCAAAATCAAGGCCTTCTGCTGGGTCCTTGCCGGTGGTGAGTAGCAACCCAACCACCCGTGCCCCCTAAGATATATGCTAACATCGCGATGCAGCCGCCGGCATGTCCATCGTTGGCGCCTTCGCTTAAGCGGTCCCCGATGCCAGGGCAGCAACGGCAGCCCTCGGTCAGAGGATGGACTAGCCGCTTCCAACGCCACGACGAAAAAGGAAGGGAGAAGAACGCCCGTGTTGACTTGGAGTGGGCAAAGGGAAAAGACGGAAAGCAAAAAACCCCAAAAAAGTGGGAGGAGAAGAGATGGCTGGCTCGTGGTTAGAAAATGTACTCCCTCTCCCAAAAGACCCCCGTCGCTGCATAAAGGGTACGTCTCCTCGACGTTCTCTTCACTTTTCATCCAGGGCTGTTTTAGTGGCGCGCAATCACCAGATTCTCCTGGTGCCAAAACGGGGAAGGGTGCAACATCTCATCCGCGTTCGCGTACAGGCTCAGGCGCAGCCGTCAAATCAACAATACGCATTTCTTCTTCTCTCACACAACAAAGAAAGGCGTTGGTTCTTCACCTTGCTCGGAAAGGATTCAACGCCTTCGTTTTTTCTCTCTCGCTCCCCTCAAAACTACTTTCGTCCCTGCTTCTCATCGTGCCAAATGTGCCTGTATCACCATATATGCCTTGTTCCAATTCCATCGCCAAGGGGAAGCCCTGTCCGATGGAATCTGGTAGAAGGAACTCCGATTCAGGCACGGTTGGCATGATCGGAGCAAGAAAGGGGCGGTAGGGGCGATCGGGGGAAAAAGCTGATCTCAACGATGAGGCGCTAAGAAAAGGAACAACAAAAGAGAAGAAAAAAAGAAACTAAAGGCAAGACTCCTCAAGATGAGCTCATAGAGGGGAAGAGCCCAGGCGGGCGAGCGCGGCACGACGCACGCCTCTCTAGATTGACAGACAAAGGGCTGCAGATGTTTTTTCCTTCTTACGACTGTAAACTTGTATTTTTAAAGAGGGTCACGGATAAGGAGGAGTTATAATTTGGCTTTCCGAGTAGTGCCGGCACGCCTCAAACTTATACTAGAAAAGAACTAGATTGGATGAATACATCAAATGTAGCCTCTGCCGAGGTCTAGAATATATGCAAGATTTCTAACTTGCGCTCCCAATCGCCTGTCTCCCAGTATACATCGTCTGGTATCATCAGACCTAACAGAAAGCCTCACGTGTGTGCACCTTTGGGGAGGTCGTCTATCGATCCTATCTCCATGGAGAGAAAGAGCAAGTGGTAACTGATACATATGCCACCAATGAGCCACATTAGCTAGCAATCTTTTTCCTTATAGCCGAAGGGTCAGCAAGCCATGAGGCACCAATGTTGATATGAACTCTTCGATTGAAAGAACAATGGATCAAATCTACAACTCTAGGAGAAAACGCCTTACCCATATCGGCCCTATGCCTGTTGAATGCCCGCAAACTTTTGAAAATGGTGGTTCCCTCCAGACGCCCTTCTTACGTCCCTAGAAAACAGGCTCAAAACAACGAAAATCAGGTCAAAGATGACGCAAGGAAAAAGAAAAAAACAAAGAAGAAATCGACACCCCCATGCTTACAAGATGTCACAGCAGGACCTCTCTTCACGGCTGACTTTCTAAGCCATAAAGTCCTCCTCCATCTGTGTTAACCCACCACCTCCCTGAATCCCCCTCCTCTAGGCTCTTCCCTCTTAGTAGTGGGCGGCTTAGAGCGCACCGCGAGCTCACCCTGAACACCGTCAACTCGGACGGATGTGGCGGGGAGGCTGCGGGGCAACCGAGGGGCCTGCCGCCGCCGCGGACTGAGCGGCAAGCGCGGCGCGGCGCTGCTTCTGCACATCTGAGGCGACTTCACGAGTTTCACGAGTTTCACGAGCAAGGTCGGGAGCGCCAGATTTCCCCGCCGCTTCCGTGTGTTTGAAAAGCTCCTTGAACCACTCTGCCGCGTCATTGTTTCCTTCGACTAGCCACTTCAAGCAGAGGGTCACACGCTCTCTAGAAAGGGGCTGGTAGCCATCGTACGCCACACAATTTAACAGGGTCGAGAGGCCGTTGTATTGAAGAATTTGCCTCTGGACATCGGGGTTTCCAGGAGTGCTTCGGCCATTTGGTGGCTGAAGAAGGGTGGCAAGGATGGTCAGGATGGGAGCCTTGGTTCCCGCCCACGCGTACTTGCTCCCCTGCTCCCGATACGCCTCCCTCGAGTGCTCAGAAGCCATATCCATGGGGCCAGTGGAGTCAAATGATTCGTTGTCTGAGTCGGGGTCAAATTCAGAATGGGCATCGTTGAAATAACGACTGTCATGATGGAGGTGGTGGTAGTGCTGGTGGTGGTGGTGGCCCTGGTTACTCTGCTGCTCTCGAGAGGAAGCGGAAGACGCCGCAGAGCTTCCAGGTTGTCGGACAGCCTTGGGCTGACCGCTGCTCATATCGACCAAAGGCAACTTGGGTACAGCGGCTTCCAGGGCGCCAAGGATTGCAATGAGATCATAGGGGCCTCCCAATCGATTAAGAGTTTCCTGGTCTCGGCTACTTCAGCCACCATTTCGATAAACTCGAGATACTGGATGAGCGCAGCCTTGGCTCGCTGCATTTCCCAATAGTCCATGCGGAAATCTGTCGCCTGCAGCTTGCCCTCGCGGATTTGGGCTTGGATATGCATCACGGCAATATATTCTGGCACCAAAAATGTGCGGAAGAAGTTGAAGAAGAACTGGATCAGCTTAAAAGCCGGGTCTTTTCCTGCTGGGTAACATCCGCCATGTTGGAAGTGGTGGTGCAGAAGATGTCGCCAACCAAACGGAGGAGAACAGATTGGGCTGGGGATAGGACAAAGCTTTTGAAGGAGCTGACCCTGTTCCACGCGGCCGGGATGAGCGAGTTATGGTGCAAGGCAAGGACTATATCTCTCATAACCTGATATACGAGTGCGGTATCGTCGAGCACCCATATCCCGACGTAAACGAGCATCTCCTTGAAGAGGCTGCGGCCAGAGTTGAGAGCTAGGAACATCTTACACCGAGTCTTTTGAAGGTTCTCTCCACACGGTGTGAGGCCATCGCCATGACTATCGAGAATGCAAGTCTTGATAATCATATAGAGCGCTTCTATCTGCCGGGGGTCCAGGATGTTAGGGATTTCGGTAAGAATACCCGAGGTCATGGCGTCATCATCATGGTGGAATCGGGAGGCGTAGGAAGTTGGACTCGAAGAATCCTTTTCGCTAGACACATCATCGTCAACCCACCGCTGAAGAAGAACCTTTCGAGCAGCGAGCATCTCCTCTTTCGCGTCTGCCACTGTCTGCACCGCAGCAATGTCTTCGAAATTCGCACCAACTACAGTCGTCCACCAGGAGTCAATCTCATGCGAGGTTCGGAGGTACAGACGGTCTTGGTCCCACTTGTTGCTGATGTTGGGATCCCAGAACGGGGTGGTGGTCTCGTCCGGCGTAGGTGGTTCGATAGGCCCATGGGGTGCCCAGTTCCAGGCGAGAGGCGACATTGGTTCGAGTGGTCCCGGAGGTTTGTTGCTATGATGATCCATGTAGTCCTTCAAGAGGACCGTGGCAGAGGGATCGAGCTTGGAGTTGCGGGCTAGCCAGTTTTGAACCTCAACGCGGGCAACCTCCGTATCGGGATCAGTCCATCGAGGCTTAGAAAGCGATTCCGATTCGGGAACCGGATCCGTTTCAGCTTCGTCGAAGAGTACATCTAGGAAGAGCTGGTTTTTGTTCCAGGAGTGCCCGACCACCCAATTATGTGTTTGTTGGAGGGTGGTAACCAAGAGTCGTTTGACTGCATGCAACTGGTTAGTTTGGTGTGTACTCCATCAATAGACGAGAGAAAGCACGTACATAGATCGTGGATTTCCAACACCTTTTCAAACGATTCGGCTGTAGTGTCTTCGCTTCCGGGCGCCTTGCTGTTGTTTGTCACGTACGCGCACAGGACAATGGTTTTGTAGGCCATCTTGTCGAAGCGCGAAGCGGCGCAGAGATCCTGTGGGACTGGACGCGAGTCACTGACGAGGACGTTTCTGGCAATCTGCATGAGGATGTCCAAGATTTGGACATCTTCCTTGATGGTGGCGAAATTCTTCACTATCAAATTTGCGCTCTGAGGGTACGAAGCTGCAACATCGGGTCCTTCTAGCGGGCCGAGGGCGCGGTTCGCAAGACTGGGTATGGCGGACTGGAAGATCTTCCTTAGATACACCCAGATCTCGACATTGGGACCAAACTTGCGGGTTCTATAAAGAGTCAGAATCACAAGAACCAAAAGAAGTTGCGGCCATGATAGTCTAGGATTGGTTTAATCTCAAGGGCAGGCGTGCGAGCCACCTCTCTACAGTACTCACCTGACATCCTCGTCTTGCGTTTTGGCTAAGGATTTTGAGAGTAATGTAATGGCTTGGCAGGTAGATTTGGGTCCAAGGACAGGTCGGCCCGTGAAGTGGCACTCGATAGTGATGAGACTCGCCAAAAGGCACTTCTCTTCAATCGACTCACCCCGACTCGGGGCCGGCATAGAGGCTGTAGAAGCTGTGGAGGCCGAAGCCGCCGGGGCTACAGACGACTCGGCAGCCGACATTGATGGCTCGTGCTAGCCGCCGAAATGCCCAAGTCCTAGTCACCGGACTCTTGAACGGCTGGTTGTCCTGAACTTGAATTGAAATACAACTGGCCCGATAAGATGAGGAGATAAAAAGGGAAGGGGGCGCGGGGTTAAAAAATAAAAATAAAAGAGCTTTCCACCGTAGCCCAACAAGACGAAGTCTGGTGGTGCGTGACGTGAGAAGAAAATGTTTTGGCGGAGGGGCTGGGGTGGAGTTAAGGGCCCAGCTCCTTATATTCGTCTTGCGTTATGAGGTTTGCAGAAGGCAATGCTCCAGTCCGTCTCTTGGGGGCAAATTGCACGTGTAGGAGCGACTTTCCTGGGAGCAAAACTTCTTTTCACGATTTTCCTTCAAGTGGAAGTTGCGACTTGAGGTTCGAGCCGAATGTGGGGTGCGGTGCGGCAACATTGGTGACTGCACGGGTTTTCAAGCTTTGTAAGTACCGGATACCAACCTCGCATTATTAATAGTGCTAATTCTCCAATATTTGATCAGCCACTCTATAAGTAACTTGTACAACCAAGGATTCTCATTATCCACACTCGACGGCAAGAGCATTGGAGCGTTGGGAGAGTTCACGACCCCAAGAAGCTCAACACCTAGCCTCTTATGATCAGGAACACTTCTGAGCTGGGTTTATCTCTCTCTATAGCATGGTAATAGTGCCATTTAAAGCAAGAGGTGAGGATGATCTACGAGGAAGAAAAATAATCAAAAAATCGCGGGCACTTGAGAAATCGTCTGTCATCTAGGGGAAAATAAAAAAATGACGCCTCTTTCTACCGCCGCCGAAACTATATCCGATCATAACCGTGATGCTGTAAAAAGACTTTTCGCGCAATGCTACACCATGTACATCCGTCGCGACTTAATGCAGATGGAAACATGTTCCGCTGGCGAGAAAGAACCAGAAGGAGATGGATAATGAGAAAAGATGGAGCAAGCCGAAGGAATAAGGTGGAACAGGGAGGAACCGAGGATATACCTGGGTTGTCCAGGTGTTGTGGGCAGCGGGCTCCCTCTATACAAAGACCAAACCTAACCCAACCTTTTCGTGGTGGGAGTGCTTGCACTCGTCGTAATCAGTCATGCGTAATACCCGGGCCGTCCAGCTCACATCAACAAGTACAGAGCCCGGACACCCTTTTCAGCGGCGGCCACATGCCACGGCCGTACGTCCGTCTCTCTCTCCGTCACACCTCTCGCCCTCGCCAGGGTTCCCAGCGCCCTGAAGTGACCTAGCATCTCGCGAAGCAACCCTCGTGCTGCCTGGGGTTAGTACCGTCGCTGTAGATGACGTTCACTTCCATAACCACCGGCGGATCTTCCAATTTGGTGCCTCCGCGCTTGATAAGGTAGCCGCTAAAGAGCGCCGGGTTGATCTCTGTAGGTGATGTCGAGTTGTTGAGCCGATGCCCGAGGATGCAGCCCCACGACTGGTCCATGATGTCGACCAGGATGCCGTCTGATGTGGCACCATCCGCTGCGTTGGCATCGCTGGGCGTCGGCGCGTTGGCGGGCGTTGCGGGGTTACCGCTCTGTTCGGGGGATAGGATGCTCGCTTGGGGAGTCGAAGCGGGCGTGGTATAAAAGGTGGCCGAGACCGACGGGTTGAGTCGGATCGCGGGAGGAAGTAGTTGAACGGATGGGCTAGTATCCACCGCCATCAACACTAAACTGACTCGGGCTTTGGACTCCGTTTGGGCCAATCCCGTCCAGAATTCCATCTCGTCCGCGTCCATGGTCCCGCATTTGGTGATGACGACTCGCCAGTGTACCTTCCACATGGATATTAAATCATGCGTGGTCTCCCAGATCTCGTGCGCAACATCCGTAAACGGCGTCGCGATAGGACGGCCTTTTCGCCCCAGGCAATACGATGCCGTCATCTGTTGGCTCCCGCGACTATCGGTCCACGCAGCCGTCACCCATCTGCCGTTTATGCTGCGGGCATAAGCGACATGGATGCATGAATTCTCGTGCATAACGGAAGCCGACGGCGTCGGTTGTAGACTAAAGTCGATGAACCTTGGCGATACTTGCTCGAGCATAATGGACGGAGCGGGCGTGGTGCCATTGAATGATGCGCATCGGTCATACACCTCGAGACAAAGCTTCACAAGGCTCGCAGGACTTTGGATGACGACCGAGAAGCTGGCGCAGATTAGGTCCAAGGGGACGAGTTGGAGAACCACTTCGTTAGGCGGAGTAGAATTCTTGCCCATGTGGCTACTCTTGTACGCCTCGGAGAGCTGCTGAAACGAGGTACATGCTTCAACTATTGAGCTCGGGTTAGATGGCGAATAGACGAAGAATACTACCAAATTCTTGGACGACGCGGTGGTCCCTCTGAGAGCTTGGCAGAGAAGCTCGACGCGCTCGGCAAGAGCGGAGCTAATTCTCGGAAAGACGGTCCCCGGCGTCATAGAAATCTTGTCAACGTCGTAGCGAACTAGACCATCTACAATATTGTCCGTGGATTCGAGAGTCTCAAAGCTGCCTAGCTTCATAGATTCATACACGCTCTTCAAACGCTCTAGGAAGGCCCCGGCATTGTCAGGCATGCCATCCCACCCAGGGAAAACGCACGCAGCCCGCACGTCCTTGGGTCCCATCGATGGGCCGAATCCAAGGCTCTCCCAAAATAACGCCGCCGAGGGCAGAACTGATAGTCGGGTTTCCGCTCGCTTCACCTCTAGATGGGGAGGAGGTATTTGATACACGGTTGGCGGTACGGATGAGGAAGGATCTCGGCCACCGACCGGGCGGGAAGGCATGAGGGGCCGGCTGGGTGGGCCGAGTGGTGGGGTTCCGTCCTGGATTTCCGAAAACGCCCTGAGCAGACACTCTGACGCGCCGCCAAGGTTGGCAGGCAAAGAGTCTTGCAGCGCACGCAACGCCTGCCGCGAGAGCGACGCTAGCTGACGGCGCTTGACGGGACACGCAGGCGGTGGCTTCCGCAATGCGGTGTCGCTCTGTACCTCGAGTGCGCCTAGGGCAGCCTGCTCTGTCAATATTTGTGCGATAGCAATCATGTCCCCGTCCGGTAGATTAAGTTGCAGTGTTAACGGTTCCGGGTCAGCAAAAAGCTTTGCGACCGACATTTCCGCCGTCCACGCCCTGCCCAACCGGGGCAATTCCAGCACAAAGCTCGGGTCTGAATCGTCGGGCACTTCGACGTCTCGAAGTGAGGCCGCATGCGAAATCAAGTCGTCTTCGTTATTCGCTTTGCGGGGCCCTGCTGACTTGACTGGGGAGAAGGGTTCAGCGCTCGATACGCTCGTATCGTCTTGGTCAGACACGCTACTCGTATCATCGATATCGAGGTCAGCAAGACCTTCGATTTTGGCGGGGCTTGCATTGATGGAGCTGGACTCTAGGCCGGTCGTGATGCGCGCGATCAGCGCCCCGTGGTTTTCCGGGAGGCCCTTCAAAGTCTTGCCGTTCTTGCCGTGGCGTCTCAGGTAATCCGTCGTTGGCGGGGCCTTGGGGTTGACATCCTCCTTCGAGGGGGACCACGTGAAAGCATATTTGCCTCCATTAACATATTTGCTCGTTACAGGGGCTGCCAATGCATCAAACTCGACCTTGTCGTAGACGCTCCTCCGCCGCGTGGGGTGGGATGTGCCTGGATGAGCTGGCCGATAAAGCGCGGTGCGAACCCGCTTGAAGACAGTGTCAGGATCAAAGGGGCTATGCTCCCTCTTTACGATGCTCGGGGCTCTCTGCTTCCCTCCTGATTTTGCGTCATCGCCTAATACGCTCCTTGCATGTCTAAGTTCTGGCTTTGCAAAGACGGGCGACTCGGGCTTCGGCGGTACACTCTTCGGCTCAGGCTGGCTAGAATCGATGACAACACTAGGCTCTGCCGGTTGTTGAACTGAGACTACCGGTGGTGGTGGCGGGGGTGGTGGTAATATATCTGCAAGTTGACGCTGGTGGAGTTGAGAGGGTGGCATCGGCAGTGCCGAGTTAGTCAATCCAGAGGTCAACATGTCAACATCTACATCAACGCCGCCGCCTCCAGGCTGCTCGTCAAAGAAACTGAAATCCGCATCTGTCAGCTCCCCGTCTGGAAATATATCACCGCTCAAGTCACCAAACAGAGGATCAGAGTCTCCAAGATAGGGTGCCTCATTCCTCTCGCGAGCGGGGACGTATCATTGTGGGGCGCGGCGTTAGACATGGCCACATCCGTGTCGGTGACGGCGACACTTGGTGGGTGAGTATGGGGACTCGTCGCTGCAACGCCATCGAGGCTAGGGGTCGGGGCGCTTGGATTCTGTATGGCATCGGGGGTGTCGGATACATCACACCGGCCGCTAAGGCAGCGGCATTTGCCGCCCGTTGGAAGGCTACCGGGGAGCTACCGTTCACTTGCTGTCGAGGACGGGCCTCATTTTCAGCGGGCTCCTGACCACCGCTGCCTCGCGTTCTCTTTGCGCCTCGCTGCTGTCTCACCCCGCTCTGGCGCCTCTTGGAACCAGGCTTTGGCTCGTTCTAGCGGGTCGTACGACTCATCACGGCCTAGGAGAAGGTTCCCTCCAAGGCGGCTAATCGGGGGTAGGCTAGCGGAGCATCTACGAAAGCAGAGGCAGGCCGGCCATGATATCGCAAGGGACGTCGGCCCTGTGAAAACTAGCGTCCCATCTGCTCTTTGATCCTGAGTCCTCGGACGCGGGACCCGGATCGTCACCCACGGGCAAGAGTCTAGGACCTGGGCGGGTATGCCCTTGAGTTGCAGCAACCTCGAGCACACCTGCCGCCACCGGGTGGAGCGCGTGTCCTGAAAACGGCTAATTTGTGTGTCTGGCGTTTGGGCGGCGCCAGTATCAAGGTGAGACAGTCCGATATCGGGCGCCCCTTGGGAGCTGGCCCTTACACCAAAGGGTGCGAGTAGAATGGGAGTTTCGGCGAATGGCAGGGAGAAGAGGGATAGCTGGGGTTTGTTCAAGGACAGCAACCCTCACCAGGGTGTAAGCCTAGGTTGATCACGAGGGTCCCAGTCGGCGTAAGATAGAGACGAAACGACGCGATCGCGGATATGGAGGGTGAAAAGGAATCTTGCGGCTCTCCAAGTTGCTGGCTTGGCGCAATTAGAAGTGTACGGCTATCAAGGGGATGGCACCGGTGCGCTTGACGAGCTCTGCAAGGACGGTTCCAAGCAGAGCGAGGATGAAATTCTCGTAGGCATCGTTGACCGTGATGGCGCCAAAAGAGGCCGGCTTCAGATCGACGGGGAAGAACTAAGGTCTTGGAATCTTGATCCGCAATTCCCCAGGAAGAGTTAGAAGCAGGGCTGAAGGACGCCGCCGCCTTATTGTGTTGTGTCGGATCGAACGAGGACGGGCCGCCTATGCCACTTGTCGGGGTATTAGTTCCCTGTTGTGGGAGCCGCGGTCTTGATAGGCTTATCGGCTCAAAGGAGCCATCGTCGACTGGCGATAGGGTAACGCCAGGAATGTCGAGGTTATCGGGAAGGGAAGGGCCTGTAGAAAAGGGCGATGTTGTATTTTCCTTCCTCGTGACGCCAAAGTGCCATATTATGCGGCGCGACGTATCAAAGTGCGCGATACACCCCTGCGTCCGAAATAGAGATTCGACATCTTGGATGACGGTCGGGTTCGGTTGCGACTGGTATTGATCGGTGGCAGAGAGCTCATATGTTCGATATGAAATGGAAGTGATATTATTCTTTCAAGGTGGCCGGTTAGCAGATGGATCAGACTGAGCGTACCCCTCTAGGCGCCGGGAGACTGGCCATTAAACGTACAATTACTAAGGCGTTGATCGTATATTCACCGGCCTCCATCTCGCTTGCGGTCCTGCCGCAATCGACGGCGGACAGCGGAAGCTTGTGGGCGCAAACCCCCACGGGAGGGTTTAATGTGATGCAGACAGCCAGGAGATGATGGTTATGTGGAGGAGCTCGCTAAGTTGATGGCTCTGGAAGAGGAGAATGCGCGCGTAGGGATGGTTGATGGAGTGTCGCGCGAGCAGAACTCCATCTCAGAGAAGAGGCCGAGCTGCTGGTTCCGTTCCGGCGAGGTGGCGGGAATCAGACCGAGGCCGAGCCGAGTTTGAGGAACTAGTTTCTTTCGGTCCGCGACGTTCGTCAAGCGGCTGCGTAGGAATAATGCGTCGGCGGAAAGCGGATCGGTGTAGCAGGGAGATGGTGGCGAATTGCCAAGGGTAACTCTGGCCGCAATAAGCCTTGGGTGGGAGGGGGAACGATGATGTCGAGCAGGAGATGAGGTGGGTGTGTGGTGGAACATTGATGGGCTCGCGCGGCTGAGCCCGATTAAATGGATTGAATGGACGGGTCAATCCATTGATCCTACACTACTATCATTTTGACTAGGGATTGTTCGCCCTTGGTCAGGCCCAAGTGTCATGGTTGGCTTGGTTGACGGGAAAGCGTGGCCATTCGAGCACTGTGTCCACCATGTGGCCAGTGCTACAATTCCCCACTTTTCCCACCGACAGAGTGCACTGAGCATTCAAATAGGCCCTATTATGGTGGGAGCTCTGGCTGCTACGCCAGCTGAGAGGTGCGCATGAACTAAACACACTGTCCTCTACAGCATCGGTCATCGGATCTTCCCTTCCATTCCAGATGAGGGCTGAATATGCCTAGGTTTGGGAAAAGGCGACGCTGAGGTTGCTACCAAAAGGACTGTTAGAAAGATGACAGACCCCTAAATGGAAATGGATCAAGCATTCCGCCATCATTCTCACTTCAAGTGGGTAAACCTTTGACGATTTGAGACACCAGGACCTTGGGATTGCCTCACGCTTCAGAACGTCTCAGTCCCCTATTACCACCAGATCTGGTATTGCCGGTTCTCTTAGCCACCGAAAACCGTAAATAGGTCTCAAAACTATGTAGTTGACGTGTATCTTTTTTTCTAAACCTAAATAGAGGCCTCGCACTGGCCTCGTCTCATCCTCAAGCTCAAGTTACCCTCCGACCCAGATAGGTATTTGTGGTGGAGTACATGTAGAGCTTGGCATCAACTGCGTCGCTTCTCCAGTTCATCTATGTCTACGAAAGACCAGTCTAGTTTTACCAGGTCATCATACGAAATTACACTTGGTGTCTAAGCCCTTTGCCAGAAGTGCTTTTAGAGGACAGAGCCAAAGCGACTTTCTTCCTCTATCAGGGGTTCTGGGTGCTTTTCGCTCAAGCTGACATCCTCAGCACCTATTCGCGCAGAAGTCGCAAAGTTTTGTCTTGACCGCTGTCTACAAAGTGGAGGCAACTAGCCTAGTTCTTCAGGAAGTTGGGGAAGAGATAGCGTACTCGCTCCAAGGCCTCAGCATTCCTTCCTTCCGGCTTGGTCATAAAAGCCACTGCACCAACCGACATACCCTCAAGATGCGTCGCTAGTACCGTGCTAGTGTTGTCCTGCTTGGTGAGCTCATCAAGCACGCTTCCGACGAGAGCCTTTGCATTCTTGCCATTGTGCTCCATGGTCCTCAGCACCATGGCAACATCCACATCGTCAGTAGAGTGCCAGCAATCATAGTCGGTAGCCATGCAGATCATCTGATAGCCAATCTCGGCCTCACGAGCGAGTTTGGACTCGGGGAGGGCAGACATGTTGATGACGGTGCCTCCCCAGGTGCGGTAAAGGTTCGACTCGGCCCTCGTGGAGAATTGGGGGCCCTCTGGTATCACTTGTTAGCCGCTGTGATGGAGAAAAACTCTTAAGACAATGCAACCAATGCCTTCTACTTACCCATGACCACAATGGTTCCCTTCTCATGGAGGACAACGCCCTCTCCCTCCAAGCTGTGGGCGCACTTCTTCACCACTTCGGCGAGCTTGTGGTCGAAGGGGTCCGCAAATCCGACATGGCCCACAAGGCCACCCTCGAAGAAGGTAAACGGGCGGATTCCCTTGGTCCGATCGATGACCTGATCAGGGACGACGAAATCCATGGGCTTGATCTCCTCCCTCAAGGAGCCTACGGCCGAGAAGGCAATGATGCTGCGCACGCCAATGTGTCGAAGCGCGGCAATGTTGGCGCGCGCGGGAACCTCGTGAGGCGCATACTGATGGTGATGCCCATGGCGCGCAAGGAATGCGACTGGAACGCCATTGTGACGGCAGATGAGGATGGGCGAGGAGGGGAATCCCCAGGGGGTCTCGGGGTTGACGGAAGCAACGGGCTCAAACCCTTCAATCTTGCTCAACCCCGTACCGCCAATTACGGCGATATGGACGGGTTCTATTACGCGGCTTTACGTATTAGATAGCGCGCTCAGCAAAATTCCCAAGAATTGGTGGGGGTTTTACCGTCAAAAGTTGAAGCGACTTCAGCCATTGCGGGGCAGTGTAAGTGCGTGCGTTCGCGGGCAGATGAGAGGGGAGAGTGACGAATTGAAGAGATCAACCGTGTTATCACGTAAGAGGGAGAGAAATAGGAAGCAGTCGAGGATTGAAAGATCTCGGTTTCCGCTAGAAAGGGAGAAGGGAAGGAATAAAAGAACTCATAAACGGAAGCCTACTTCGTCTCGCAATCCTTTCCACCTATGATTACTACCATCTCCAAGGCGTGCTTGAGTCGGCGGATATTTTTGGGAGGGGCTACCCGCCCCACCATTATCCCCTCTTATCTTATCGCCGCCTTCCAGTCGAAATTTTTTTTTTTCCTTTTCCGCTCTTCAGCGTCAGCTTCCAACGTTTGGGTCCACACACCGACACCGTCCCTTCTACAACCAGCCTCACTCCGCAGACCACACCCGCCCAAATCTTTTACTTCTTGTCAACAATTAGTCGCGAATCGAATAAAACTTGTCGCGTCTTGAAGGCTTCGCACTCCGGTCAGGATGAAGCTCTCCAACCCGGACGCTGTGTCCGTGTACACAGTCTCCGGAGGTGCTGGGAAAACACTACCAGACTGGCTCGCTAGGCGGAGGAAAAGGGACATCAAAGACGATCTTGAGTACCAGAACCGAGTCGAACTCCTGCAGGACTTTGAATTCGAGAGCGCATCCATGTGCATCAAGATCTCAGACGATGGCAACTGGGTCATGTCTACAGGAACGTAGGTCTTCCCCAAAACCGTGCCCGCACCGGCGCCAGCACCAGCACCAGCACCTACACCAGCGCCTGCCCTTCGTCCTCAAATCTAACCTCTGACTTTCTCCCGTGTCTAGCTATAAACCGCAAATACATGTCCACAATCTTCCGGAACTATCCCTCTCCTTTTCGCGCCACACGACCTCTCTCAACCAAGCCTTTCAAATCCTCTCCCCGACTATTCCAAATCTATCCATCTCCAGAATGACCGCAGGATTGAGTTCCATACCCCCAATGGGTGCCACTTTGAGACCCGAGTCCCAAGGTATGGGAGAGACATTCTTTATGACAGGAATTCCACCGAAGCCCTTATCCCCGCTGTCGGTTACGATGCCGACGGCAACGGTGAGGTCTTCCGCATGAACCTCGAACAAGGGAGGTTCATGAGGAGTTACCACATCGATCTGGGCGAGTCGGAGATGGGAGAGGGGCTGCAAGGTGGTATCAATGCGGCGAGCGTCAACGTTGGTGCTATAGCGGAGACTACACACAATCTTCTAGCCTTTGGTACCTCGATAGGAACCGTGGAGTTCTGGGATCCTCGCTCAAAGGCTCGTGTTGCGCGCCTTGCGGGACACGATGGCGGCGTAACGGCGCTGAACTTCAATCCTTCCGGTCTATCCCTGGCTACCGGGTCGGCGAATGGCATCATCCAACTCTTCGACCTCCGACGGCCCGTTCCTCTTCTCAGAAAAGACCAGGGATACGGTTTCGCTGTACATAAGCTTATCCACATGACGACCGCTTCACAGGAGAAGAAGATTCTGTCGGCTGACAAGAAAATTATCAAGATCTGGGACGAAGCTACCGGAGAGCCTTGGACGTCCGCCGAACCGACAGTAGATTTGAATGACGTGGCGTGGTGCAAGAACAGCGGCCTACTTCTCACAGCAAACGAGGGCGCAGCGCAACACGCGTTCTTTATCCCCCAACTCGGACCCGCGCCCAAGTGGTGCTCGTTCTTGGACAATCTTGTGGAGGAGCTCGCAGAAGAGGCCAAACCCGAAACATACGAGAACTACAAGTTCTTGACAATACCCGAGTTGAAGTCGCTCAGCCTTGCTCACCTGATCGGAAAGTCCAACCTCTTGCGACCGTATATGCACGGCTTCTTTGTCGCCTCTAAACTCTACGATCAAGCGCGCCTCATCGCGAATCCTTACATGTGGGAAGAGGAACGCGTCAAGAGGGTCAAGGCGAAGATTGAGAAGGAGCGAGAATCGCGCATCCGTGGAAAGAAGAAGGTCAAGGTTAATCAGCAGTTGGTTGACAAGCTGCTCAAGAAGCAAGAGAACAGGGAGGTCGTGGATGTCACCGCTGGTATTCTCGGCGAGGACCGTTTCGGAAAGATGTTCGAAGACGAGGAATTCAAGGTCGACGAGACGAGTTGGGACTACAGGCTGGTCAATCCGAGCGCTGCTGCCGCCGCCACCCAGGCCGCCGCCGCGTCGAATGGCGGAGATGGCAAGACACGGTTCCGGAAGGGAGGGGCAAAGGCCAACGACTCGGAGGGTGAGGATGCTCGTCCTGCCCCTATACGCAGGATGCCTTTCAAATCTTCTCAGCCCGAGAGGGGTGGTAGGGATGTCGCGATGAGAGTCTCTTCCTCCCAAGCGCATGGCATGCGAATGCGAGACAATGCCTTTGGCAAGCGAATCACCTCTTCTGGCAGGATCACAAAACCACGGGCCGGCAATGTGGTGGGCGAGCAGTCAATGAGTTTCGTGCCAGCGTCCAGGAAGCAGAGACAAGACCAACAGCCAGAGCTCCCCACCAGGGCGAAGCGGACTGACGCGAGGAGAAGTGCCAGCGGGAATACTTTCCGTCGCATGTAATCTCGCCTGTTCCGTTGGGCGTGTGTTGTTGGCTTCGGCTGTGACCCCCCCCCTTCTCAAGTTGGGGGTTTGCGTCACGCTGCAGGACCCGAATATGGGGTCATGGTCTGTTAATCCTTGCCTTGTAGAATTAGCATTTTGGAGAACGGGAAAAGTTTAAGGCGATGCAGCTTAGTTTGAATTCTTAATGATATCCCTTGATGAATATCAATCATCTCTTGCTACGGCTCACTGCCACAATTTACGTGATAATATGGAACCTTTGGCCCATCTAAAGCAATGAGTCAAACGAGCACGTGTAGCAACAAATGCGTTCAAGGCTCAAGTAAAATCAAGTTTCCCATCTATACAACCAGGAACAAATCACGAGAGGGGCATCGGAACCGTTTATGGTGTCGTTGACCGATTCCCTTTCTTCAAAACCACATAAAATATTGACAAGTTTGGTATCCTAATAAGCCCGACATTACAACAAAGCATCATTGCAGAGACCGTCAACACCGACGATACAATCTAAAAAAGTAAGAAAAACAGAAGAAGAAAACAAGAATGGATGATTGAATGAGAACACGTGGAAATGAGAAAACCAAAAACGGCAGATTCCTCTATACGGCACTACCGCGCTCATAAAGGACTTTTGATCCTACCGAGCCCCGACGACTCTACACCCACGCACGAACCTCGTCTACCTTCCCCACCGAGCCTGCTTCTTCTTGGCAGCCTCGAGGCCCTTTTCGAGGTCTTCAGGACGCAGGCGGGGAGTGGGAGGGACCTCTTCGACCTTGACGCGGCGTTTTGAGTTGGGGCTGCCGTCCTTGACGCTTCGGGGGAATTCGGTGCGGCGGGGTGTGAGGGCGGCAACAACCTTCTTCGTGGATCGCCGTATGCCTTCGCGAATCTTCCATTCTCGCTTCTTCGCCACGTAGAACAGCGTGGCCATCGATACTAGAGGAAGGGGAAGAGGTTACGGGTTAGTGTGTCTGTTTGTGCGTGCGTGCGTTCATATCGCGGGCCTCACGCGGAGGGGATGTGAAGCTGGGGGAGAATAGGGTTGGTGCCTTACTTCCAATCACACTGACAGCGACGACGACGACGATGATGGCAATCATTGCCCCCGAGATATCTGGACCGCGCCTTTGGATTCTCCGGAGGCGCCCTGTTCGGTCCCAAGGTCCGATCCATCCTTCGGATAGGCGATGCCAACATCATCGCCGGTGTAGACTTGCTGAGGAGCCATCTTTGTTTTGTTTCTTGGGCTCGGTCGGTGGAGTTCAGGATCTTAAGCGCTTCAGGCGGATTTTTGAAAAAGAGCTAATAGAGCCTCTTTACGTTGAGAGTTGTGTGAGTCGAATTGCCGGGAGAGTTGGTGGAAAAATAGGTTGACAGTAACCGGCCTGTCGTGAAAAGAAATCGGCGGAAACCAGCGATCGAGAAGTAAGATGTGACGCAGTTTACACGGGTAGCGAGGGAGAATAAGTACAAAGGACAAGAAGGTCGAGAAAATGCATTATGATCAAGAAGACCCAAGGGTATATACACCAGATGGACTCATACTTGTAGTGATACCAGAGACTATATCACACCTCTCCTCCTCCTCTTCTCTTTCGTGTGATGGGGGCGTGCCATTACGCATCGGATGCATATGCAAGCCGCCCTCGAGCCCTTCTCTCAATCTCATGCCGTACAAAACGGCCAGTCTCGACCATCGGACACTTTCAAAGTGAAGAAACACCAAAGCCAAAGCCAGCATGGGCGAATCGCAGGTGGCAGGTGAGGGGGTGGAGAGAAATGTGACAGGAATCTATCTTTGGCAATTGTGCCTGGGAGCACGGAGCTGGGGACAGTTCGATTCCGACCGTGTCATTGGTCAACGTAGCGCCCTCGGCGTGCGTCCAGAACAATTTACTGGGGTTCGGGCTCGAGATGCAGCCAATGAAATGGTCCGGTGGTTGGAGGGGTTAAATGCCGCCAGCAGCAAAGCTTCCGACCCGGTCAGACCAAGGACTTACAGACAAAAAGCAGCACGCACTGGAAGGATGGGTGGATTGAGAAAAGATAGATTGATGCGAAATTCTTTGGATCCATCTCTTGGCAGCAGCTCATGTGCATGTTGTCTGATCGCGGCGCTGTTCGTAAGACGATAATATCTGCTCTCAATCGATTTCGAAAGTAGCGCAACCCCTCACGAGAGCGAGTTGAAGGGCCCTTGACCTTAACTAATGATCGGCACACTTGGTGGTTGATATGAGGATAGGAATATCGGGATCTCCCCTTGGTCCTGGATGTGATGTGAAAGCACTTGCGCGGATCTCCCACCTTAACCAATCTTTAGCATCTACCCCTGCGACTTTCATTTTCCATCACATCATTAGACACCTCTCCTCCAGTTGAGGGTGATAGGTCCGTCCTTGAGCGCGGGTTGCTCCAAGACTGCTGTCTCGAAACAAGTCATTGGTCTAAATAGCTGGCCTAACCAACCAGCGTCATTGCTTGGCTCTGAACCGCCGCAAAGCCACCTCCTGCATGGCCCATGCTTGTGGCCCAACGCTTCAAGCCTTAACGCCCAGCATATCCTTAGCCCTGTTGATCGACAGAAGTCTGGCAGTATCAACCTCAGAGTCCACTGCTAAGAAGAGGAAACCAAGTGATCCTTCGATTCAGACCTGGGGAAAACGTCAGAAACGGTCGCCTTAAGACGCCAGTGGGCATAGAAGGCGAAGACTCTCGGGTCGTGAATATGGCTGCATTTACAGGATAAAAATAGTATTTGAAGTATTAGATAGTTTTTTTGGAGAATGATCCGTAGACGCGTAGATCCGTAGATAGAGTCGCGCTTCCCTCTAGCCGATGGAGTGGTCTCTTCCCCGGCCAAAGATTTTGATATAGACGCTTGTGAGGCTCGAAGGCATTCATGTATGAAATCTTCGGGTCCTACTATGTAGGAGACAACGGTTCGCTCTCGCCCAGCATGTGTCTGAACCAGGCCCTAATCGTCCGTTCGTTCTTTCCATAACCTTCAATAGGTACTTGAATCTGCGGAAAGAAGAATGACGCTCCTATCCTTGAGATCTATTCTGCATTTAGACCTGTCTTCATATCCATTGTCGGAACTTCGTGCTCCCCTCTATCCTCCAGTCCCTTCCACTTACCCCCTACCTTCCAGAGCAGGCTGAAATCTAGTCACCTGCTCCTTCCACTTGTACACAGTTAAAATGAAGTACGAAGAAGGCTCGAACTAGTGAAGGAGAAGAGATGCCCATAAAACCCCAAGGCCGGTCCTTCTTCCATTGTCCTTATGACTCTACTGGCAGGAGTTGTACTAAACTTGGAAGGAACCATGATGGAGGGGGAGACTCGTGCCCTTATGTTGGCTCCGAAGTTGTTTCATATGCCCCATAGATATTCTAAACCGTTCCTTCCATCCAGGCGAAGCCTCTGTCCATCTAGCCGTTGACCCTTCATGACATCTTAGTTCTTCAGAGCGCTTAGAAGGCCGTCTCAAATTCTCCCAAAGTGGTTTAGTTTTGGTGCAATAGCCCATATGAGTTGACCTTTTTCTGAGAGCGGACCACACTGCTCACATAGTCTCAGTTAACACGATGCTGCGCCCATCGCCACTATCGCCGGACCCGATCCAGTATGCAGAGGCCATGCTTTCGCGCCCAGTGGTACCACCTAGATATGCGGGCATCAAAGCCCCTCTGGGTCATTCTACCCACCCCGGCCCAGCGTGGAGCTAGAATCTCCGGCAGCACATAGCTGCGGGAAACCGACGCCTACCCAGTCCCAATCCGTAAACCACCGTTTCGGACAGCAGCCGGTGCAGAGTGCTGGCCCGTCGACTAACCGACTGGTCCGGGGTACGTGTGCGTCTCCCCAACGGACAACCCAAGTCCATCTAATCAACAGCCCCCGCATGCCCATGCCGACTACCCCGGAACTCATTGCACATCCGCACAACCTCGTCTACACGTCTCATCAATCTTCCAAGCCAGGCTTCAAGGGACGTGGTCTTGTGCCTGTTCAGGGGAGACCTCAATGGATGCAGTCGCCAAGAGATAAGCAACCCGCACTCTACCGTCAAGCGGCTCCACCGCAGGCAAATGGAGTGCCCCGTCAACCTGGCGGTCAAGCTTCTCCGGTCCGTTCAGGGGACCTTGAGTTGCCGTCGCCTCATGTCTCTCGTAGCAGAGGCGCTCCTAAAGCTCACACTCTTGCTAAGAGTAACCTACCGAGAGAGCCCTGTACTTCGATGACGAGGCCGATCTCTCAGAACTCAAACATCTCGAAGAGACGCATGAATCCGGGTAGGCTATCGTTCCCTTTCCATGGTGATGAAATGGTAGATTTAGAGAAATTTGGGTCTGCCTGGAACACATATCTCCAGAACCATGCGAGAAGAAGTGAGAATGCTTCCCATAGAATGTCCGAGCTTGAAAAGGTTATCGACGATCAAAAGAAGAGCATCGTTGAGCATAGTGAAAGAATCAAGACACAGGCTTCGGCAGTAGTTTCACTCGAAGCTCGCGCCGCCCAGTTGTTGGAACAGAATAATCTACTGGCAAAGGCAAACGACGACCTCCAGGGCCAAGTGGAGCAGAGTAGAATGCATAAAAGGAAATGCAAGAAAAAGTGAAGTCCTACCGAGGAAAGCTTAACGAGGCAATAGTTGAGCAACAGGAGTTATACAAACGCTGCAAGTTGCTGTGTGATGGGACTATCGAAACTATCCGAGTGGAGAAAGAGGAGTCTGTATCACAACAGAGGCAAGCACTGGACCAGGTCGAGATTGGGATGCAGAAGGCTGCCAAGGCACGGAGTGCAATGAAGGGTCTACTAGAGGAGGAAATCCGGTCATTCAAGGCACACTGCACAAAGGGTATGGTCTGATGAATTATCGTCAATAATGGATCGCTCTAACTCGCTAGTGTAGCTGATGAGGAGAACTCTTCGTTGAAACGCCAAGTGTCTAGCTTACATGAGAAGCTCAAGGCCGAGGAAGCAAAATCAGAGGGCCTGCTTGATAAAATGAGGACTGAATGTTCCACCCATGACCGACTGCAACTCTTGGAAGCTAAGTCCAATGATATTCTGGAACAGCTTCATGAAGCTAGTTCGGGGCTAGACCTGAAGGAGCAAGCATACGCGGGGATTACATCAAGGTAGGCTGATGAGAAGAGTGTTTCGGGGGCGACTAATACTTACTTTTACATCAAAAAGGCTTGATATGATTATTGAAAAGGCCGACACGACTGGGGTGGCTGTTTCCGAGCTCCCAGAAGTCGGGAAGAGTATCAACCAACTAAGTAGCCTGTTGATTACCACTGGAGACAGGTTAGTGGAATTTCTGCTATCTATGCGTAATCGAACCTGCTGACCATCCTTAGACTGAAAGACGACGTTTCGAATATACTCTCAGGTCAAAATGACATGTGCACGGCATCGTTGAGCCTCGAGAGTAGGATCCGAGACCAACTAACCGCCGTCAATGAGTTAATCAGAAATCAAGACGAACAACTGCGCCTTCAACTTGCCGAGAAAAACAGAAGGTGCGAGGAATTGGCTGTTCAGGTAGCGGAAAAAGATAGCAAACTCCAGGTTGCCAAACAGCAAATTACTGAGGCTACCTCAACTGTCAAAGAAAAGGACCTCCAAGTGCAGGCACTCGATGTTCAGATACAGACCTTAGAAGAAGTTGCCAAAGAGAAGTCAGTTCTAGACCGGGACAGCGCGTCCTTGCTCGACCAGCTTGAAAGCAACAGGGCAGATCAAGCCGAGTGGTATTCTCGAATAGAGAGTACGCTCTCCATTAGCGACTCGAGGGCCAATGAGGTTGCAATGATTCTTTCTGAGATTTCACGGACTGTCCAAGCCCAGAGCGGAACAGAGAAAGACCTATCTACCATACGCGAGTGGGCAGGAACTGAATTGGAGAAGGAAAAGGAAAAGTTACGAGAGGCAGAAAAGGCATTGAAGGGGCACGAATTGAAGAAGGTTGAGTTAGAGGAAGACTTGAACAAAACAACTGCGGAAAAGATTCGACTGAGCAAAGAGTTGGCAAGCCTCCTGGCCTCTAGGGAAGACGAAAGTGCGACGCTGGAAAGGACCCGAAAGTCCTTGGTTGATGCCGAGCAGCGGATTGTTAATCTGAAAGGAAAACTAAAGAAACCCGAACCGAAGGCTCAAGAAGTGTTCGAGGCATTGAAGAAATGGATGGCGTCGGCCGACGGAGTTCGCCAGGCGCAGGCAGGATTTCGCTGTTTCGATGCTCAGGGGCTGCGTGATGCACTTCTCGGCCTGAAAAGTGCGTCACGGAGTTTACCAATTGATGAAGTTCAGACTCCAAGCACTCCTATTGAAGCGACGGATCTTGATACCGTCATCGTTGCCGTGGATGGGGTGGATGGGCGGGCTGCCGTTGCGACCCCGCCGTTGAACCTGTCGGCAGAGCCTGGGCGAAAGATAGTTTTAAAAAGCCCCTTTACCGACCACGCAGTTGCGGCTCCACCGTCTGTGGAACAAGAGAGAGTTTTGCGACGAAAAGCCTCGAATCCGGCTTCGATTCTGAAATGCGACCAAACCTTGCATGAGAAAGGCGTTGGGAATTCGAGGGGGCGACAGGCTGGTGGTGAATCAACTTTGATGCCTCGAACTAGATCAATGCCCCCTCTTCGTAATCATAACCAAGGAAAGGAAGATTTATCCGTGTATGATGAAGGCGATTCCCAGATGGAGGACCTATTGGCGAGTATCCGATCCGAGCTAAGTCTACAGCAGGAATCCGGGGCCGTTAAAGGGCTAAAACGAGGTACGCCAAGCATTTCAGATGAAAGACCACTCAAGATCCCCAGAAACAGCCTAGGTATATTTGGGAAGCTTGAGTTCGAGGTTGGAGACCTGAAGTCATCTTACTTTCCGGTGCCACCGGGCCGCAGTGGTATGTTGGCTGGAAGGGTAGAAGGGGATACGGTCATGATGCCGAACATCACGAAATCGAAGTCGCTCGGGCGATGCAATGGAGGAAAGATTACGAGGAAATCAAATGTCAAAGGGAGAGGAAAACCAATTATTAAGACTTACTCAAAGAAGCCGCAGCAAGAAGAGGCTGGGATAAGCAAGCCATGTTGAAAAGGGGGAGACGGAGAGATTTGAAGGTCCGAGTTCGTATTTGATATCAAGGAGTAGGGGCAATGGGCCCTATTATTTTAACGAATTGGCGACGTGTTAGGTATTGCTATATCATGTTAAGCGGCGAGATGGAGGAATGTCACGGATATAAAAGATAGCGACGGGCGAAAGAAGATATTAGATTTAGCACATGGGCACACAAGCACACGAGTACACGAGCACATCGCTGGTGATATCTTCATTGGGGCACACGATATTGTTGCGCTATTGAGATAGATGGCGTTCTCCCTCAAGTATGTGGTCCGGAAGAAGGACAGATTGATTCAGCTCGTGTTAAAGCCTTTGGTCTTGTCTATGGATGATGCAAAAAGATTCGTGACGTGACAAATAGTATACAAGATGGAAGCCACTCGGAGGGGCGAGTGGGAAGAAACACGAGATCTCGCAAGTGTTGATACAGTAATGGTGGGATGGAATCCGTGTCGTGCACCTCGGAAAGATGAGGGTCGGTCGCGGTCTGGTGAAAGTTTCTGCGTCGAACTAGACGAATGGCGGGTGACGGGGTAGAGAGCTGATTTATTTGGCGCCCTTCCGCTTCTGCTCAAGGAAGAGGACATGTTTTCGAACTAGACTTTGGATTAGAATCGGGGCGATTTTGGAGGTGATATTGTGGTTGCTGTCGAGCTGCATGAGGGGGTGTGGAGGAAATGGTGCCGGGGAGGACGAGGTAAAGCTTGAGAGCCAGGAGAGGCGTATGGTGTCTACGTGAAGTAGGCTGTAAAACATACCTATAGGATCATACTTGAGCATGCTCATGGGGCCCGCGGTACGCTTCCGGCGGAAGCTATAGAAGAAGCCGGTGGCGGCCATGGAGAGCAGGCGCACGATTACGACGCGAGATTTGGCTGGTCACGGAGAAACACATGCATTAGTATGCCAGAACATGGTGGGTATGCGCCAGAATTCGCTCCCTCAACCGACAACCAATTTGACGAGGGAATCCGAGGGTTTGATATGAGAAGAGTAACGGCTTACCTTTCTTCGCCATGGTGAGAGAATTGACCGGTGATGGGCGGAAACTTGAGAGGGTGTTCGAGGGGACGGAAAGCTCGAGCTTGCGACTGGTGTGTCGTCTGAAGATTTTGGGAGAGTGCTCTTTGGTGATTGGCTGAGATTCGGTGTAGCGGAGAATTATTGATCCGAGATCCGAGTCTCACCGAAGCTGTGCGGCGGACCTTGGAGCTGGCGGTCAGGGCTGTCAAAACTAGTTGACAGAACTCCCAACTGCCACAAATGGGGCGACACCGCACCGGTCCTCCCACTATTGCTCTAGCTCTCAGTTGATGTGACGCTCGGTTGCTTAGCCTACATGGCTTTTGGGCTTCCGCGTGGTTTTTTTTTTTTCCTCTTTACTTCTTTGTCATAAAATCTCCTGTGGTCACAGAATGCACTACTTCGACTACATGTAGGCAATGCTCAGGTGTTAATTACCTAACGAAAAATCCCATGCTCCGTTCTTATCCGGGGAAAGGATGCTAATGCGAGTGCCCCGGAACATGTGCTGGGAGCTCAAGCAATAACGTTCCGTTTCGGCAATGTGGGATGGGAGGGACGGGCGCATTGTGGTGCGGATGGGAGGCGGAGGAGAAGCGGGCACGGTACGCGGATCATCCAAGTCACTCGCATTGGCGGGATGGGGGCCCTGTGGAAGGGGCGGTCAGCTGCTGTGACGGACCAACCATGGAGATTGGATTAGGTGAAAGAAATGCGCATGCGGTCGACATACGACTCGTAATCAGTGGGTGACTCTTCGATATGCCCCCGGTTTCGGACGAGGGAAAAGGGCACACTTCGGCTATCAGATATCCTTTTCCCAATGCGACTGGTGTTTTCCTGCAAAGAGCCCGTTTCCGCGACCGGGCTTTGCTGGAACCGGGGTTGAAACTCCCCTCTCTCTCAATAGCATCAGGGCGTTTACGGCAGGGAGAAGAGACGGTGTATCGCGGGTGGCTGGCTCATGACATGGATAAACTGATAGGGATATATCATCAAGGATGCCCGCGACCGGCGTGGAAGAAAGCTATGCTACACGATTATGCCGGTTGCTTGCTCATCGCATCGAGAAGGGCCGCCCTTGTCTGTATCCATATGCTGTAGATCGATCTGGATAAGGGAGCTAGGTTTCCCCGTTTGACAAGACAGTCACTGACTCTAATCTAAAACGATGTGATAATTTTCCGTGAGACTCGCATGCCTCGCCGAGCGGGCCGTAGATGAGCTTGCTTTTCACCCCGTGGCGCACTCTTTGGTCTCTGTGCAACCCGTGGGCGAGCCAGAATCCGACCGCCGCAACAAATCCCCTGGCCGTCCCCCAGAGTAATTTGAAAATGCCCCCGGCTCGTGCTCTTTTGCACCCCAATCCTCCCTCGTGGGGCAGGCAATCTTCTTTCTGTCCGATAGCTCCCTATTTTACCGACCGTCCCGAGTCCAAGGGTATGAAGCTAGAGGTGTTGGGAGAAAAGCGACCTTCTATTCTTCCCTTTTAGCGCCATCGTCTTGCTCACGCGGCAAGGAAAAAAAAAAAAAGGGACCAAAGCAAGGAGAACCCCTAAGCCCCCGTTATCGTCGTGAAGCTGAGGGTCTTGGCGTAAATTCGCTCAACAACATCGTGAGTTTTAACCGTTCAAAAGGAAGAGCTACCCCTGCACTGGTTGCTTGACGACCTTTCCCCCCTTCCCCCTTTGTTCTCCTTGCTTCCTTTTTCTCTTTTTCGTGTCCCTCTCCAATCCACCCCCAATCTTCCTGACGACCTCCACGCCGCCTATCTCGTCCATTTCATCCATCCCCTATCTCGATTGGGGGCGGCGTGTCAAGAAAAAAACCGCAATCAGCTGGTCGCCCTATAACGAAAACCACGCCACCAGGCCACCTTTATTTCCAGCCGAATCACTAACTGGCCAGGTCAGGGATCCTGTTCGCCCAGCTTCGGACCTACCAGTCAGAGGCGAAATATCAACAGAAAGCACGCAGGGAGTTAATAGCTGCTGCAGCAAGAGGGGAAGGCCAACCGAAGTGAGCGAGAGAAAAATAAAGAAAAAAGGGACCACTTCGAGGTACACAGTACATTCGACCTCTGATCGCTGCCCTCGCCAAACGAGTCGAAAACCGCCAGCCAACGATAGAGCTCCAGCTCCCGACACAGTAACGGGTACAACAAGCACTTTGTTCAAACTTGAGGATCCAGACACTCCACTCCATACGCGCGCCGCCGCAAGAGCTCCCGATCCGAGGCCATTTTCGTTCAAACAGGAGACCAGACAAAGACGGATTGGTCTTGACCACCGTCCTCTCGGCTGACCCTGCACGCTTGCTGGTTGCTGGTTGCTCGCCAGTTCCCTGTCTGTTTCGAGACGAGGGTGTTCCGATTCTGCCCATCGGATTGCCTTATCTTCGGCTTATACTGTTCCTTTTAGACTTGACCCCCTTTGCCCCCCTTGCCCCTCGCCCCACCATTGGAACGATGAGTGCCATGAGCTCTGCGATATTAAGACCGGCTCGGTCGTCCCTGCCAAAATTGCCCCGCCATTCGTTAGCCCAACTCCATCATTCCTTCCCCACCAACCCCAGGACTTGTGTCGCAAACCTTCATACTACTTCTTCTCGTACTTGTAAACTTGCTAGTAGCCGGTTCCTACTATCCGTCCCCTCCACCTCCTCTTCTTGCGGCCAAACTCTGAACTCCCCTTCCCCCCAGCCGATCCAGCAGCGTAGCAACATGTCGACCGCCGCACCCACTCCGAGGTTAAACATCGACAACATCAACCAGAATGTTGTCAGGGCCCAGTACGCCGTGAGGGGCGAGCTCGCTGTCAAGTCCGAGCTCTTCCGCGCCAAGCTCGCCCGCGGTGACGCCGACCTCCCCTTCAACCAGGTCATCTCGGCCAACATTGGCAACCCTCAGCAGCTTGACCAGAAGCCCATCACCTTCTTCCGCCAGGTTGCCAGTCTTCTCGAGAACCCCAAGCTCCTCGAGCACCAGGATGTCCTGCTCAAGTCCCTCGGCTACCAGACCGATGTCATTGAGCGTGCTCAGTGGCTTCTCAGCCAGTGCCAGTCCGTCGGTGCTTACAGTGCAAGCGCTGGTGTTCCTGCCATCAAGCAGAGCGTTGCCAACTTCCTCGAGAGTGAGTTTATCTTTTATTTATTTTTTTACTTGTATCTTTGTTTGGCTCCTCCGCCCCTGCCTCACTCCCCGTATGTGATGTCTTTTTATCACAGGGGCTCAGTCTTTCTTCCGGGTCGTGTGTCACAACCGGGCGCGGGCTGTTGCAGTGTGGTAAAGGGATGAGTCATGGTGACACTGCTTGAAAGATGCATATGACTGCGCAACCTTAATCTGGCTTGAAATCGGGGTGTCGTGAGTAGGCGACGCATGTAGGAGAATCACGCCGTTGATCACGCCGTTGACTGACATTATCTACCTCTAGGGCGAGATGGCTTCCCCGCTGACGCGGCCCACATCTATCTTTCCGGTGGTGCTTCTTCCGGTGTCAATACCCTCCTAAACATCCTCTGCGCCGACAAGAACAGCGGCATCCTCGTCCCCATTCCCCAGTACCCTCTTTACACCGCCAGCTTGGCCGTTCTCGACGCCGTGTGCGTGCCCTATTACCTGGACGAGGCCAGGCTTTGGGGTACCGATCTTGAGGCCATCAAGACCTCGTATGAGAAGGCCAAGGCCGAAGGTGTCGATACTCGTGCCATTGTCATCATCAACCCCGGTAACCCCACCGGTGCCTCGCTTCCCGAGGCCGACATCCGCTCCGTCATCGAGTTCGCTCGCCAGGAGAACCTTGTTCTCATTGCTGACGAGGTCTACCAGACCAACGTGTTCTCCGGCGAGTTCCACTCCTTCAAGGCCGTTCTCCGACGCATGCAGCAAGAACAGCCTGGCACCTACGACCACCTCGAACTTGCCTCCCTCCACTCCATCTCCAAGGGTATGGTTGGCGAGTGTGGCCACCGTGGTGGTTACTTCGAGCTTGTCGGCTTCAACCCCCTCGTCGAGGCTGAGATCTACAAGTTCGTTTCCATCACCCTCTGCGCCCCCGTCCTCGGCCAATGTCTCGTCGAGCTCATGGTCAACCCCCAAGGAGGGTGAGCCCTCGTACGAGCTCTACAACCAAGAGTACAACTCCATCTTCAACGGCCTCAAGGAGCGCGCTTTCGCTCTTCACGCCGCCTTCTCCCAGATGGAAGGTGTCGAGTGCGGCGAGCCTCAAGGTTCCATGTACCTCTTCCCCACCATTAAGTTGCCCGCCAAGGCTGCCGAGGCTGCCGCCGCCGAGGGCCGCACTGCTGATGAGTTCTACTGCATGAGGCTCCTCGAAGCCACCGGCATCTGCGTCGTCCCCGGCTCCGGCTTCGGCCAGCGCGAGGGCACCCTCCACTTCAGGACCACTTTCCTCGCCCCTGGCACCGAGTGGGTTGGTAACATTATCAAGTTCCACAAGGAGTTCATGGACCAGTACCGTTAAATCCCGACTTTTTGGGGGTCGAGTCTGCTTTTTTCATGTCTGCAAGATCATAAAAAATTCGCTTATAGAAACATATACACCTGCAACCGAAATCATCGGGGGAACGCGTTCTGAAGGTGGCGGAATAGAACGGGGAATGGTGATTTCTTATCTTTTTTACTTTTTTACTCTTTGCTGTACGGTAAATGACCGAATGCTAGGGAGTTGGGTTTTCTAAAAACGCATGAGTGGGTTATACAATGGAGTCTTTGACAGAAAAGAACAATTCAATTCCACGGTGTCTAGCCCGGCTATTCTCTAATCTGATCTTGTCCCCAATCATATCTGTGACATGGGCTCCTGTGATGCTAGAAATCATCAATGTGTGTGGGAAAGAGCGAGTGAATGAGGTTGGAAAGCGGCAAAGGAAGAATCAATACGGGTTGGACCGACAAGATATATACATATGGCGCACACGTCAAGTCCATGGACAGTACAGTAGAGTAATAGGAACTGATCTTTTCTCTCTATCTAGCAATAGCCTCCCAGCACACCTCAAAGACGGATATGACTTCTCATTATACACTGGCACAGAGAGGCGAAGGGGAGCCCCCCACCCTAGCGCCGCGCGACGACTAACCAATAGCCCGACTCTCATGCCCTTTGCAGGTATAAGAGGAGTCGAGCCCGCTGTGATTCCACTTGTGAGGCGAGGGACAGAGTTGAGTGGACATTAGTACAATAGAGCTCCCTCAATTCTTGTCTTTGCTCGTAGTTCGCACCTCCTCCTGTCCCAGTTATGCCCTCTCACTTCCTCGTAGTCGCACGGCCTGGCCGTACTTTTGGAGCTTGGTGATAAGCTGGTCGCCTTGGCGCACAAGATCCTGGTATTGCTTGTTCTTGTCGTCGGGGCGGTTGGTTTCGATGATGCCGCCCTTGCCCGATACACGGTCAATAGTGCAAGGAATACGGCCCGCGGCAATAAACCTGGCAAGGTCCCTAGAAAGACAGATAGTGTGAGCAAACATGCAGCCAATGTTTCATGGGATGGAAGGGAGGGGGTGAAAGCTTACCTGTCAAGGAAGTCGACGGTGACGCCAAAGTCGTTGGCCATGCTCTCGAGGCCTACAACTCGGTAGCTCTGGAGAAGCTGCTGGTAGGCACGAAGGCGCATCTCACGGATGAGCCAGTTCTTGTGTTCGTGGAGGTACCGATCCTGGTTGAGGAACTGCTCCTCGACTTGGGCGAGAGCCTGGAAGAAGGCCTTGTAGCGTCCGTTGTACAGGCTCGTCACGAGGAGAGAGAGAGGCGAGAAGTCGATGGCGAGCTCAGCCTCGGGCTGGTCCACGGCGCTTCCGAGGGTAGTGAGGTTAACTACCGTAGTCTTGGTCGCTGACTGCGGGTCCTGCTCGACATCCATGGTATCGTCACCGCTGGGACCGGCGGAAATGGCGCCGCTGAGGGCAAGGAGCTTGTCCTCTCCATCGCCAAGGATGGCCTTGATTTCGGGGGCATCGACGACCTTGGACTTGAAGTCGAGGCGCTTAAGCGAGACAGATCCGGCAAGGACGGAGTAGACGACGAGGGACGAGTAGGTGCAAAGCTCGTAGCTGGTAAATGTGGATAAGCTGTCGAGGAGGAGAGGAGCAGCAAGGTTGTGCGATCGGACAGTGAGGAGGTGAATTCCTTCATAGGCCTTGAGACGATTCCTTCGATCCCAGTCACCTCCAGCTTCTACGAGGGTCTTGGCTCGCTCCACGTGCTTCTTGACCAGAGGCTTATCGCCGTAGAACAGGCCCATTCTTATTATCGCGAGAACAATGTCGATTCGAGAACCAACAACGCCGGTCTTTTCGAAAACGTCTTCGTATGCGGTAATGGCGCGATCCTAAAACGAACCATTGTTAGCAGGAGCTCCTAGCCATGGCGCTACTCTTTTGGGGAGGGGCGTGCATACCTTGTCACCGACACGAGCCCAGAAATCAGCCCGCTTTCCTCGAGCGGCGAGGATCTCAGTGTCTCCAGCATTCTCGACTGCCTCATCCTCCTCCTTTTGAAAGCCGTTGAGCTCTTCGTCATTTTCCGCCTTGAGCTTCTCGTAAAGAGCGTCATTCCAGGGCAACGTAACCGTGGTGACGGGGTTCTTGGTCGCGATGATGCCGACCAAGCTCGACTTCCGGCTCAGCGGCTTTCCAGGGCCACCGGGGTCTTGCCCTCGCTGACTGCATTTAGGATGCCATCGATGGGGTGGGCGAGGTACCGGTAGAACGGCGCCATCTTGTGCTCGGAAATGGCATCTTGAAGAGCCTTGACGGCGGATTCTTGGCTGGATCGGGAGGCGTACTGGTTTGTGAGGGTGAAGACATGCTGGCTGAGCGGCAGAAGAGGCCACTTGGCGTACTGAGGATCGGAGCCCATGACGGCGGATGGTTGGGTGGACTTGGCACGAACTCCCAAGGATCAGGTGAAGCAAGGCCGAGAGACGTGGAGCTGCCCGAGTTGGACGCAAGCTGACGCCGAATATGTGTTCCGATAGTATCTGCGCTTAGCTACGGCGCTAGTGATGACGGAGGGCGATTCGTAGGGTGTGATGCGGATGGCAAAAGGGGTAGATGGATGGTGATGGTTGCGGTCGATGCGATGTTGACGAAAGGCGAAAGGCTGCTTGCTTGCAGAGCTGGACCTCTTCAATGTTGCTGCGTTGCTGGAAGTGGTCCGAGCGTCAAGCAAGGCTGCAGTCCGAACACGCACCCCCAAATTCTCGGTTCACACCACCAAGCAATGCCCCGTCTTACCATCATTCCTTCAACACGAAAAACAAATCAGAGCTTAGAACCATCGACTTGCGCTGGGGCAAAAGCCTAATCAACAGGTTTCCCACCCTAAAATCGCCTGAGTGGGCATATACCAATTTCCATCGCAGAGGCCGAAGATCTTGCCTGATTCCGATCCCTTTGCCCATCAGCTGAAATCCCCCTATTTTCTCACTCGCCTTGTTTTTCTTTCGAGATCGATCCCCGTGTGTCTCCAAGGGGGTACCTCCATCAAGCCCAACTCCCATCATTCACCATGGGTAACGACACTGAATCGCGTCGCTCCCCAATGACTACAACCAGAGAAACAAACGCAGACGCTCGGTTTCTCCATCCCGAGACTCTCCCCGCGTTCGCGTCGTCGAGACGAAACCGACGAGCTCCCTCAGCCCTATAATGCGAGAAGCCTCCAACCGGCTAAGCGCCGCGCTGTCTCTCCATCCGACCAAGGGCGCAAGCTGAAGCGTCCTGGAAGGCGCGCCCAGATTTCTACTAGCGAGCGTGAGGCCATTCGTCAGCGCCAGCTTGAACGTGAGAAGGAGCAGGCTGCGACAGAGGCTGCCGAAGCCGAGAGGCAGCGGCTCCGCGGCATAAATGACGTTGTTAGAGAGCACTACAACAGCGTCCCTGAAAGGGGTAGGGACTGGCGCAGGACGGACAGCAAGATCAAGGGTCTACGGTCGTTTAACAATTGGGTCAAGAGCTGCATCATACAGCGGTTTTCGCCCGATGAGGATCATGCCCCCGGTGCACATGAGCGAGGCGTCTCTAGCGGGAAGCAGCTCTTGATCCTGGATATGGGATGCGGGAAGGGTGGCGATCTGGGAAAGTGGCAGCAGGCACCACAATCGGTCGAGCTTTACGTCGGTTTGGACCCCGCCGAGGTCAGCATAGACCAGGCAAGAGACCGTTACAGAAGTATGAGCGGTCGGGGCGGCCGCGGTGGGAGAGGGGACATCAAAACAGGAGACCGGCCCGCCTCTTCGACGGGCGATTCATGGTCAAGGACTGCTTCGGTGAGAGCATCGAAGACCTTGAGATTGTCCGACAGGTCGGTTTCGACCCTTCACCGATGAACCGTCGCGGCTTCGATGTAGTCAGTATGATGTTCTGCATGCACTACGCGTTTGAGAGCGAAGAAAAGGCCCGCCGCATGCTACGCAACGTTGCCGGCGCCTTAACCAAGGGTGGCCGCTTCATCGGCTGCATCCCCAACTCAGACGTCCTAAGTGAGAGGGTTCGCCAATACAACGCCAAAACGGACGGACAAAAGCCTCAGGCGCCCAAGCCCGCCGCCCCTGCCGAAAATGACGCTGAAGACGGCGAGCTTGAGGAAGGTGAGGCCGAGGCGGGAGCCGAGTGGGGCAACAGCATCTATCGCGTTCGCTTCCCCGGTCCCACTCCCGAGGATGGCATCTTCCGTCCCGCGTTTGGATGGAAGTACAACTATTTCCTCCACGAGGCTGTCGAGGAGGTGCCCGAGTACGTTGTTCCATGGGAAGCCTTCCGCGCCCTGGCCGAGGATTACAACCTCGAGCTGCAGTACCACAAGACCTTCACCGACGTCTGGGAGACCGAGAAGGATGACGAGACCCTGGGCCCCCTGAGCGAGAGGATGGGCGTCCGTGAGAGGGGTAGGGGCCCCCTCCTGGTGTCGGAGGAAGAGATGGAGGCTGCCGGCTTTTACGTTGCCTTTTGCTTCTACAAGGTATAGCGAAGAATATTCCGCGCGCGTCCTTGTTTCTTCCTTTTCTATCGCAATTGAGTGGCAAGTGAGGGAAGCAAGGGATGTCAGAAGGAAGACACAAGTGTTGAAAGAGACGGCCCTTGCGAGACCGGCGGAGTAAGGCTCGCGTGCCATGGGCAGGTTATGGGCTATGCATGTTGTATTATTATCACGGGAGTCATCTGGGCAATTGCAATTCGATTCAACTTTCAACTTTTCAAAAACAACCACAGGGAGAAAAAAAAAAGGCCGAGGGATAAACACGAAGGACATAGATATAAATACAATGTCAAACACGCTTTCTTCACTCAAAAAATACTTGCTTCTTCAGCGAATGATCTATGCTACTTTGTGAATTACATTAAGCTACTACTCCGGATGAGGGCTACCTATATATGTTTATAAAAAATTGAGTAGGGTATCATGGCATGGGGGCTTGAGGGAAAATGCCTATCCGCCAAAAGGGAAGAAGAAGAAGAAAAGAAGGCACCATGCCTCCAAGTGGGAGCGACAGAAAATAGAAGCTAGGCCAGGGGCTCGGCTTCGCCAGGCACTCAAAAGCGGTTCAAATGCATTGGAAAAGGATGTCGAGGGGAAGGCAGGAGATAGAGGGCGATGATGATGATGATGAATGCAAAGAATAAAGCCCATGGACGAGAATTCCACAGATGACGAGGCGATGATGGGGTGCTAGTACGAGGCGCGTCCTAGTTGCCTGCATTAGAGCGCTTCCAAATCATAGCGGCAGCTACACCAACACAGGCGACGGCGGTCACGGCAATGTACAAGTTGGTGCGGTCGGGGAAGGCTCCTCGATCTTGGGGAAGGCTGAGCTGGGGTGCGTGGCGGCTTCGGCAAGGGCAACGAAGAGCTCGCTGATGCTGCTCCACTTGATACTAACGTGAAGAGGGGCGCTGACGTTTAGCTCGGCGGTGTAAGCGTCGGGCTGTAATTCGGTGCGCTGGGTGGCCTTGTCACGATCCGCCTTGAGCGCCGTGTAGACGGCGGGGAGCTCGTCAAGCTGGGGGTACTTTGCGCGCAGCTCGACGATGTGCGAGAACGAGTCGGGGTCCGATGAGTCGTACGCATAGCAAATAAGATCGCAGGCATCCAGCTTTGCCTGGTTTTCTAGAATGGCGTGTTCGTGGAGTGCAAGCTCTTCGAGTATCAAATAGCACTGTTTCCCCCTGGGAGTTCGACGCTATCGACTGCACGGCGGGGCTGGATTGTGGGGCGGTGCAAGCCGTCAAAAGGGATCTTGAGGAAGGTATCGAGTAAAGATGATTTTCCTGCGCCAGGGGCACCTAGCACGTAGCAGTGCACCACTGTCCTCTCGACTTTGTCGAGACGTCGGCGGCGCTTGCGGGGCTTTGTGATCTTGAGGGCAGAGATGGTCGAGTCCTTGGGGTTGGACGGCTCGAACCCTAGATAAGCGAGATACTCCAAGGTCGTTTTAGGATCAAGGAAAGTTGTCATGCTCCACTGCGCCAACCAGCCTTGCAGGGTGATGTAGCCGGCTTCATTTCGCACCGTCGAGGTCGGGAAGGAAGCCTCGGTCCAGGGCTTTGGCAAGCCGGGCGTAGGAGCAAATAGCTCCTCCAGCTCATCCCTATCGAGCACACCGTCCTTGTTCTTGTCGAACAGCAGAAAAAGATCGACAAAGAATTCGTACCCAGCCGGGCTGAGCTCGGCAGAGGAATATTGTGGCACTTCAATCTTGGGCCTCAGGAGACTATCCTCAAGGCTCAAGCTGTCGGTATACCTATGCTTCCTCAGGATCTTCCAAATGTTTCCATGATTCCCTCCTTCAGCGTACAGCTTATTCATCTGTAAAAGGCAGACAGATCGATACCGGCGTCCAAATTTGTATCAGGCAGGGTTCTTTTGATCGCCTTTTTATGCTTAAGATTTCGTCATCTGTTGAGGGCTTTCCGGAAACCTTGACTTCAAGAGTTCTTAGCTCTTCATCGTTGAGGAATCCATCGTGGTCCTTATCGCAGAGGTAAAAGATGCGCCGCAACGCATCTACGCAAGCGGGCTTGAGCCTTCCTTCCTTGTAGTCGAATAAAGGAGCGAGGGGGTACGCAACGGCATTCTGGCAGAGTAGAATGGCTTCGACAACGTTGATATTCTGCTTCGCGCTCGTCTGTATGCATGTATCGATCTCTCGAAACTCGGCCATGACGGGCTTCATCTCTTCTTCGGCAACCTGAGAGAAGCTCCTCGGATGTCAGGTCGGACTTGTTGGAGCAGACAACGACAGGAAGATTGACGCCAAGGGACCGGAAGTACGGCATCCAGAAGAGTGCCACCCTCTCATAGCTGTAGTGGTCGGAGTAGACGAGGAGGATAACATTCGATTTCCTTATTTCCTTCCTCAGTGTGGTTCGATCTTGCGGTCGCGCAGAGGTGTCGACGATTGTAGTAGTGCCTGCATTTCCGATATTTGGGGAAGGGTCACTGCAGGAAGAACAGGCTGGATCTTTCCTGGGGTGAAGACTCCCTTGACGAAAGTCGCGATAAGGCTTGATTTGCCTGTTCCTTCGTCACCACACACACATATCCGGACTATGCCACGTCAGTTAGTCCGGGGAGCTGAGACGAAATCGAAGAGGGGGAGGATGCCCGAGGCTTGCCAGGTTCCAACGGCCCCATTCGTTTCAGCGGTGCAGAGTAGCAGGGTAGAAGTATATTGGGGGAGAGCAAACCTGATGTCATGGCGGCTGTTTCGTATCTTGGAGCTCAGGCGACGGCCCTCCCACGTCAACCGCAACCGTAGAGGTGCGGAGGTCAGCAGAATATGATGATTGAAGCTGTAAAATTGGCAGATGAGTAAATGGGCACCTTTTTCGGCGACAGTTGGGTTTTTCGACGTTGCGCGGCTCGACGGGAGAATGAACAGGGAAGGACGGAAGAGGAGAGAGTGAGCTGAGCTCGACTGTGGAGAAGGGACAAGAACCAGCAAAAGTGGGTCGTACCAGCGATGAAGCCACCTGAGAACGATGCACGGGGAAGAAAATTATCGCCAACTGGTGGCGGGTACACTTGTATTCAGTACATAACCGCTGAGGGGCCCAGAGTAGAACTTGGTTGCTATCGATGGAAAATGTCTGGTATAGGTACAACGACTCCGAACAACCCAGTCCTCGCTCAACCCAATTCTTCAGACGTCTAATATCTTTCAACTGATCCATCGTGAAAACGTGGGGAGCTGGCCAATCGTGGTTCCAGGGTCGGGAAGTTGCCGCAGCGCTCAACAAGGGCCGCTATCCATTTCGGACGCTGTCAACTTGCCCCAAGGCATTCGTCTCCCGCTGTGGGAGGCAGCGCGATTTCCCCATGGCCAGTTCAAGGCCTTCTTATTTCCCACCATTCATTTTCATTCCGATTTATCCCCAGCGTTTCTTTGATGATGCCGAGACCGTGCTCGGGATGGGGGTCATTATCTTGGGCAGTTGTGAATCACAGAAGACTCCAACGTCTCTTCGAGCACCGATTATAGTTATCCATCATAAGTAGGGGTTCCTTGCCGTCATTCCGTATGGTGCCAGTTCGCGCGCTTTATGGATTGGAAATCGAACACTGGGGAAACACAGAGCCGTTGGACGGACCAGTGTGCCAGCCACTCGAGACTGCACGAGGTGTGTGCTAGGGGCTGCATTCACCCATAAAAACCGCTGATCCAAGCCTGGGGTAGCACAAACGCCGAGTCTCCAAAAGAAGCTTTTTGTTGCGACGGAAGGTTCGATGCTCGCCCACAGCTATCTCGAGAATGCGAATGAAGCAGCTACAAATTGATATTTTAGATAATACTGAATAGCAAGTCACAGGACCAAGCTAGTTCTTAGAAGGATTGACGCATTGCTCAACAATCGCCAATGCTTAGGCCCGTTTGGATGGAATCCCCATTATTAACCGGGTCCCTTGCGCTGGGCCCTTGTTGCCCCGCCCTTTCGGAAGATCCCAGCCATCAATGAATGGCAGGGCCAACGGCAACGACAACCAGGCAATTGATGTCGAGCCAGCCTTGGGGTTGTTCCCTCGTCGCACACCTCCAGCCGCCAGCCTTTCGCCTCCTTGACCAGCATATGCATGCCCTTTCAGACCTCGAATAATCGTAATACCGAGCGTGGCGCGAAAGTTGACGACACCAGCGGTGTTTTCGCACTCAGCGTCGCATCCTTCCTGCCGAGACTTGACTGGCCACAACCCTCCACAACTGCGACTCCCTCCGATCGCTGCTTTTGTGCCGCATCACCGACGGAATCGGCCCCCTTCACGTCAAACTCGCACTAAGACCACGTATAAACCGGGATTCTCTTGACGAGAGGAGGAGAGACTTGAGTCTTCACGATGTTGTAGGTCAATGAGCGCTTGTCCCCACCCCCTCCCTTCTCCAAAGGTGGACTGGGGAGCATGCGACCCCTTGTCTCCTCTCCACACGCAACGCAAAGCCACCACATGCAAACAAGCCTTTGTCCCACCATGTCGTCGCTTTTCACACCTTGGTAGAAGATTTGTCAAGCTAATGGTTGCATGATTTGCCGCTCTGTAGTGTCCTACCTCCGCCTCCCCGTTACCCCTCGCAGGCCGGCTATGGCCTCATGAATGCCGGTTTGGCCCCGGTCATCGAAACAAACAATATCCTCTCCAACCCCACAGGGCCCGAATACCAGTTCCTTGTCGGAGAAGGCATGTACCCCGTTGCCCTCGCTATGCGCTTACCCTACTACGCGCCCACCGTGCACACTCTAACGGGTTCCATCTTCAGGTACCTACGTCCTCAAGGAAGACCTTCTCTTGGCTACGCCTCCGCCGCACCCTCCGAGATCCCAAACGCAAACCCGAATCCCCTCGCAACCATACCTCAACCTGCCACTTCAGGCTGCAAGGCTACCCTTGTAGCTCTTGACGTGCGCCATGCGCCGCGGTTCTTCCTCGGATCTTCCAACACGACCATTTCCCTCAACGGTGCCCCAGAGAGCATCCAAGAACACCCCAACGAGAGCCGATACTCCAACGAACTGGGTGCGCTTAGCAGCGATGAAGGTCGGGGACTTCAACCAGCGATGCCCCCGACGACGGTGACGCTAGGGTCCAGCACACCAGCATTTGGAGAGGGAACGCGCTCTTAGCTCCGGGAGTCCCCAACGCCAAGGATGCGAATAAGAAACGGAAGCCCAAGAACAACATGACGAAGAGCAACTCGTCTTTCATCTCCCGCGTCATCGGGAACGATGCGTCACACAAGAAGCTGCAGGACCGCTCCACGGATGGCATGTTCGCTTTTGCGAACGTGAGCCGCTCGTTCCAGTGGCTTGATCTAGCATCTCCCACCAAGGTGACTATAACCTCACATCCCCGTAGCGCGGCGCTCGCCCACAGACATATAGCGCCTATACGACCTTTCAGTCGCTAATTAGCTCTTCTTCATAGAACGAATACCTCACGAAAATCCTCTTCACGAAGGCCCACTGCCTGTGCCATGACGTAAACCATGTTACCAAGGCATCCAACCACTTGGATATGATCATGGGGTTCTCCACGGGCGACATCATCTGGTGGGAACCGTTCTCTCAGCGGTATACCAGGATAAACAAAAATGTAAGAGACCTAACAAGAAGGGCGGCCGAATCTTTCTCTCACCTCGTTCTCTCTGTTTTTTTTTTTTTTTTTAATTTCTTCGCGGATGACTTACAAGGCAGCAACTTAGGGCATCATCAATACGAGCCCAGTATCCGAGATCAAGTGGATTCCGGGTTCAGAAAACCTGTTCCTAGCGGCGCATATGGACGGTAATCTGGTGGTGTACGACAAGGAAAAGGAAGACGCGGTTTTCAACCCCAACGAAGAGAGTGCGGCATCGAGCGGGGAGGTAGAGCCGGAGCCCAACTCTGCGAGGGTCAACTACACCAAGCAGATTGACGTGAAAAATCCGTATACTCCAAGAACCAGAAGACGAACCCGGTTGCGCTCTGGAAGATTTCGAATCAGCGAATCAACTCGTATGCGTTTTCGCCTGACAACCGCCACCTAGCCGTAGTTTCGGAGGACGGCACGCTCAGGATCATTGACTACTTGAAGGAAACGTAAGTTGGCTACTTTATGGCACCACGGTATTGGAGATGCTAACGTCGAGAATGTAACGCAGTCTCCTCGACCTCTTCTACTCATACTACGGCGGCCTCACGTGCGTGTGCTGGTCCCCAGACGGCAAGTACGTGTTGACAGGCGGTCAGGATGATCTTATCTCTATCTGGTCGGTCCCCGAGTCGGCGATCGTCGCTCGATGCCAAGGCCACCAGTCGTGGGTGACCGCCGTCGCGTTCGACCCGTGGAGGTGCGACGATAGAAACTACCGATTCGGAAGCGTTGGTGAAGACTGCAGGCTGTGCCTATGGGATTTCAACGTTGGCATGATTCACCGACCTAAGCCGGTAGGTTCTCCCCGCCCCATACCCTTTTTCTTCTTCCTTCTACTCCCAGGCATACCAGTCATCACGGGTCAGCATCACTAACGTGGCGGACACTGGTAGATGTCGGTGCTCCATCGGGCGTCCATCTCATCTAAACTCACGAGTCCGCTCCAGACGACTAATACCAAATCGTCGGCCCGAATGAGGGCGGACTCGAGCACCTCGATCGACAAGGAAGAGGTTGTCGGCGAAAGCACAAACCATCCCGTGGAGCCGCGATCTCGGACGGCCATGCTCCCTCCAGTTTCGGTATGTCTCTCCCCGCTTCTCCCACCCGGAGACGGCGAACAGGCGGCCTTCCTCGCCGCACCCCCTCTTAGAGACCTTGGCCTTGTTTTTTTTTTTGCTGACCGCCGTCTCACGCGCCTCTCCTTTAGACCAAAGTCGTCGACACGCACCCTATCGCCTGGCTAGAGTTTACCGAAGATTCTATCATCACTAGTTGCAAGTCAGGTAAGCGAACCAAGCAGCCGTCCCGAACCCGTCCTCACATCTTCACCCTAAGCCCGCACCATCGTCGGATCATAATACCGAGGGGGCCGATGTCCCGACTATCTTTCTTTTTCTTTTTTTCTATTTTCCTTCTAACATTCTTGCAACTAGGCCACATCCGGACCTGGAGCCGACCCACCGACCTAGTGGCTTAATCGTAAGGGCAATGGAAATGGAAATGGGAAACGGGCAATCCCGGGCGCAAAGGCACGCACGTGGAAGTGTCCTTTTTCTACAGAGAGCAGACGGCAAATCCAGTTGCTTTTCTATAGCCTCTTTGCGCACTACTCCTTTTTTTCCTCTTGCCTTCTTTTTCTTGGTTGGAACACGGATCCCCTTGGGGGTATAATCTTGTTCTGTATAAATGTTTGGAGGAGGCACAGCATTTTCCTTTTGCTATAGTAAATATGCATGGTAGTATATTTTCCCAGCTTGGCCTACCTTCGTAGAACGGTGCTTCTCTTGCATTCTGTTGATTCAGGAGCAAATTCCCGTGGTTTATATCCGAGTTTCCGCTAACCGGAGTGCCGTATGCTCCCCTGAGAGGCTCCGGTCCATTCCTCACGCCACTTCTCAAAGCCTCATTCGAGCATGGCATGGTGGCTCGGCTTGTCGTTGAAGGCGGTCCGGCTATGCAGCCAGGCCCGAAGCTGCCCTGTCGGAGCCGACGCTGGACCGTAGTCCTGCTAGTACCGAACACTGTCCGACTCATGGCACACCCTACCCTGCCTGCATCTCGAGTCCAACCGGTTCGCTTTTTTCCCCCATTTGCGTCTGAATCATTTCACCTTTCTCGAAATTTCTTCTTTGGTTCATTTTTTATTTCCTCTTTGGTTTCCCCTACAGCCCTTGCCCGGCAGAGCACCGACGAAGGAGAGTCACCACCGTAGTAATGGGTGGTGCGCGGGTCAGACGTCACAAAGTGCCGCTGACAGACGGAACCGATCGGATGGTTCGTATCATTGCCGTGAGGGATGACGCCTTACCGCCCCTTGATCCCTTTTTCCTCTCTTTTTTTTTCTTCTTATTCTTTCCTTTTAGGAAAGGCGAGGGCCACAGCAATTCTTTCGACCCAGCGGTATTTTCTAGCCGACTTCACCCCCTTAGACCCCACTTGGTGCGTTTGTGACCTCGGTGGGCATGAGGTCGTGAAGCCTAATCATTGACTGGTAAGAGAACCCGTGGCCGTCCTGGAACCCTGCAAGGTAATTGTGGACTGGTTTTGGCTTCCTATCTCAAAGCCCCACTCCACCGGATCATTTTCGTGCCCTTGCCATACCCCTGTACCGAGTTAAGTTTTTCAGGCGCCGTCATCGATGCGTGGGATTTGCGCTGTGTGCAAAGTTTGCAAAAACAAATTGGGAAACGGAGGGGGAAAAAGGGGAGCAAGCAACGTGCCTGGAAAAGTTTGAACTTACGTGGGCTCCCTCAGGTAATATCCCCGAGTGTAAAATGTTTCTCTATCACGTCACGGCAAGTACTTCGGAAAGTTTATGAGAAAGAAGATGTGGACAGGGCAACCGATGAGCGAATCATCACAGAACCTTCCATCATTCTAGATCATGTTAGAAACCGTTCTTGCCTTCTCCCGAAACCCCGAGCGAGCACTAAGGTCCGCAACAAGCTCTGCCCTCCAGGAATAAAATGAGCGGCGTGTAAAATTGACATGTAGAATTTGAAATACCTACCGGTACCAGCGCTAAGCTTCGGGACCTCTTCTTTGGCTTCTTTGAAGGAACGAGACCTTATCAGATTTCGCTGCTGGGCCGATAACGGCGGCCCATTTCGCAGGTATTATCAGCCCGATTGATGTGATTCGAGAAGGCTAGACAGAACTTTTCTATTTCGCCTTGGATACTTGCACGGTATCAAACTTACACCCCCTCCCCCAACACCTTCCTTACCTTTTGGCTTCTTCGCCCTTGCACGTGGGTTTGCAAAATCACCCGTATGCTGCACATAACGCCATCTTAGGCTTCGAACGGGTGGGGGATCCCCTAAACGAGGGTTAGGAAACCATTTGATTTCTCTGCTGGCGTGTTGCCTCTGCCCATCATTTTTCCGTATTATATATCAGGGTCGAAGGCAACGGCGCTTGATCATGTTGTCATGAATAGTCACAGTGTTACCAAGCCTTGCGCGGTCAGCGGAGCGGCTGCAGCATACATCGGCAATTCTCCGGTGGGTTCCTCTGCAGTTGGCGTTGCAGGACCGCACATTGATGATGTGCTGTAGGGCTGAGGCTCGCCTCAGGAAGCAACAAGACCTGTGAGGGTGGGCGCTTCGTTCAGAGGCGCCCGCCGGATCTCAAGCCTATCACATGGCCGCATTTCCCGTATCCGCGCTGTTACAGCTGTACTTGTAGAGTCATTTCGGAGGACGCAAGAGGATAAGGCCTCGGGAAGGTCGCGACATGCAATCGAGAAGGGCGAGAGAAGCCCACTGGTCTGGACTGTTGTCGTCGGTGACGGTTCTACGGCTGCCAATCGCTCCGCCACACCGACTCTTTCAACGCACTAGAAGGGTGTCTCCGTTCAGGCAGCTCTAACTACACGAGGGACGTGAGATTGAAAGATCGAGTCCACTACGGATCGTAGAGGGGTGAATTGGCCCTGGCCCCAGAGGTGTGAGCGTACTTTATGTGGACCGTCAAGATAGCCAGACTTGGCCCCTCGTACACCGGTAGATACCGTGGGGGCCACCTCGGGTACAACTATGATACCAGGAAACTTGGTGCAACCTGAGTGGGTTTGGAAACTTGTATGCTTATCCTCGCGGCGGGTCTCACAGGAGGGCTCACCGAAGGAACCACACGCTTGATATCGAAGGCCACAACTGGCGCAAGCGCACCACATATCTTCCCAACAGACGTGAGATGCTTGCGTAGGAGGGCATCATAACGGCAGGCCACACATGGCTTGACTTTGAACTTTGACCTGCCCGCAATCTAAACTTGCCACTAAGTCAAACCCATCTTTTTGTGTACGAAAGGTAGTCCTTAAGGCGTCCGAATGCCGGCCGCTAGGCCTGACAATGTCTTGTTCGTCGATTTGTCAAAGCTCGAGAGGCGTGTTGATCTGCTTGATGCTACTTGCCCTATTTTCTATTCCGTTCAGCACGCCATAAACTTGCTTACAAACGAACGCTTCTTTGAATTCCTTTCTTAGACAAGGGGGAAACTATCTCTCTGAGGACACTGCCGAAGTACATTGAAGTAAGCCTCTGGCTCTCTTGGCAGGGCCTTGATAGGAGAGAAAAGCCCAACATAGCTAGGCCCACTCTCGAAGCAAACCCTCAAGATGCTCTACATTGGCAGACGCAGGGAGGTGCGGTAAGAGAAGAGGACCCCCTCGCTGGGCCTTGCAGTTCTATTTTCTTTCATCGCTATCTCTTGGAAGGAAATGTGGACCGGTGGATCACGGTGGACCTCGGTGGATCTCGGTGGGTCACGGGAGGAAGCGAAAGCGCCAAACAGAGATTCCCTTTTGATTCTCAGCAGCCAAAGATGTAGTTTCAAGGCTGACCTGAGCACTTGGCTCTCGGCGCTAACCGTGCAAGGAGACGAACAGTTGGGAGCATTAGTAATTCTGGAAGTCCCGAGCGAGTCTTCGGAACAGAATTCCCTAAGATCGAGACCAAACTAGAAGTAAAGTGGAGACTTGATGGGTTGGGTCTGATGACTCACTTGACCATGTACTCCATCTCCGATAACGATTCCGGCGGACCTCTGAGAAGTCTCTGGCCTCGGAAGTGATTTTGTGATTCCGATCAGGGGATCCGTTATTTTCAAAAGCCCTCCACCCAGCACGCCGGGGACCGGAGCTCCCGTTGCCTGTGGACCCGACACCCATGCACCGGAACAAGAGGGCGGCTAAGAAGGCCCCCAAAAATATTTCCCTGTCTCGAACCTTGTGGTCCGCTGTCCCATAACAATTGATTTTCTAAATTATAAGTCGGATTGGCTCCATTGCAACCACGAGTAGTTGACGGTGATCGGCGTTCAAAACGAAGGATGACGTCCATATTGTTTCTTTCATGCGCCTCCTGTTGCATTTTGACTCTGTGTGGCTCTCGGCTGGTCCAGGAAACACCCCAGGGTTGAACCTAAGGCGGCCATCTACAAGTAGTTCATTGGTGTGGGAAAATCCGCATGAAATGGGGAGGGAGTGCCCTGTCAAGTTTGTTGATGTAATGAGGTCTGGGCTCGAAACGACAGCGTATATCAAAGACACCCTACCCTCGATCTTCACCTAATCAGTCGTGCGGATTGGCGCTCAGGTCCACTTACATTTTCATGGCCAGGGCGGCTTAGGCGGCTATGCCCCATTAGTTTGGCATTTTAGGTTCCCTTTCTGTTTCTATCTTGCTTCTTTTATTACACTGATGTGGTTTTTCTTTACTTTCTTGCGTCTTCTCGCATCATCCTCGACGCTCTGCCCATCACTTTCTCAATTGATGGAATTTTGGCTGACTGAGATCTGGAATGACGTCGACAATTTTTTGATTTTTTTGGCCCAAAGGTTTTCCAAAATTTAGCCGAATCGCCGATCTTTGAGACGCCGGTGCTGGAAATCAGTGCTTCTATTCTGGATCGGTTCTGTTGTTTCATTTGATGGGTTAACCCCCCACCCCCGCTTCCTTTTGGGCAGGCAGTACCTTCCCACCTTCCATTCAAGTTCGCACTGATGGCACTTTTTCGGGGGTGCGTAGATTATTCTCGCCTAAAGAAAGAACAAACACTAGAATCCAAGATTAATAAAACTGATGGCGGAGGAAACGACCTTCCGCCCTCAGCGATGGGAGAAGTCCCTCTTAGCGACTGATGCGGGGAGAGCTTCAATGGCTACCTGTACAATCACGAGCGCAACATGCCCAGAGAGATGGACCTCGTGTGTGTGCCATCGGGAACCGGATTGGATAAACTCGAAGAGCTCTTCAGCCCTTAGGACAGGAACAATAGGTAGCTCAGGGTCTTTCCCTCCTCCTTTTTCTTCTTGCTTTTCTTCTTTTGCCTCTAGATGGACGGCGGTCGATGACTTTGGTATCCTGCAGCCTGCCCAAAGCCGAAAGTGAGAGGCCGCGTCTTTGGAGCACATGTGTGGAGGGGAGGGCAATGGCTGTGGTAACTAGGAATGGGGACTTCGAGAAAGGGACA